GGCCAGTTTGTCATGCAGGGGGCTAGAAAGGATGCCCCGCTGCGAAGGTGGATGGGGGGGGTCCGGGGGGGGGCTTGCCCCCCCCGGGCACATACCTTCTTGGCCAGGAGGCCAGTTTGTCATGCAGGGGGCTAGAAAGGATGCCCCGCTGCGAAATACCAGACCGGATTTCGCCTTCAATGCTTATCGCAGGAGCCTGCGGGCCGCCGCGGGCGACAGTAGTTGTCCGCGGCCCTTCAGGGCCGCGGGGAAGTGGTGGAGCGTAATCAAGGAGATCGAGCACAACTGCGGCCCGCGACCCAAGAAGAAGAAGTGGGATTCTAATTAAAAGAACTTTCGCCGCGCGGCTGGTTTGGCTTTCGCGCTGGTTAGATTTTCGCGCACGCATTTGGTTACCAATATCGCCCTCCGGGCGCGATCTTCATAAATATTTTATGTCCTTGCTCTACTTACTCTTACTAGTAGTACGAGTACCTAGTGCTGCTACTTTTTGACTTTTATGGTAATCGCTTTCTTTGCAGCTGATGTTGCTCATCGACGCTGAATGAAACATAAATAATCAACAGATGAAGCATTCGAGGAAAATGCTGAGGCTTGGAACATTACCGCACAACTGGCCTGGGAGTTGTGGCAAGCCTACCTAAAGCTGATGCTCATCGACGGCGTCGTCGACCAGTATTCACTCACAAAGCTCTGCGAGCTCGACGTCCAAGCAGCCATGGCGATAAGTACAAATTTTCTACGACTAGCGTATGTGTGTGCAGCCAGCAAGAAGTTGTTTTTGATTTTGGTAATACTTTTTCTTTTCAGTTGAAGGGGATGTCAGACTCGCTTAGCTATGTGGTGTGTCTGTGTATTTTCTCGAATCCTCGCTACTTTGGATTTTGCTCTGCGCAGGAGATAAGATCAGCATTGGCCGCCGATCGACGATGTTATTTATATTTGTGTTTTGACTAATATTTTCTTCTTCAAAATCAAATCTCACTCAGGTGAGCGAGTGCCCGAGCTGAAGATAAGAAGACTAGCCATCCGTGCTGGAGAATTGGTAGAGGACGCGGACGAGGGTGTTGCGGCCGAAGAGGAGCAACCGAAACCACCAATGAACGATCTCTGCATCATGTATGGGCTCACCATGGCGAGGTACTTACTGTTTTTTGGCTGCATCTTTTTTGTACTGGTTCCTTCTTACAACTGGAAGCTGCAAGTTTATTCCTCGTCTACTGAAATTTGGCAGCTATCTGCACACTCGTGCACCATCGTCTGTCGGATCATTGTGATTGAATGATCTGCTTCTGCACAACATGAACAACATCTTCCTGCTCAGGATCGAGTGGTTGCATACGCAGTTTAAGAGTTTCCTGCCGGAGGGCATGGAGGACGACTATCCCGAGGACCCAGCGGGCATGAGCAAAGACGTGATGCGCAAACTCATGTACGACCTGTTGCCTGGGCTTGGCGAAGAAGAATTCGAGCAGAAGTTCACGGAAATCGATCTCGATGGTGGCGGTCAGATTGAGTTTGATGAATTCGTGGAGTGGCTCAGCAAGGAAACAATCGACCTGGAAATCAGTATTGCGATGATAGATTTTTGCTCAAATAATTCTATCGATTCTTGTTTTATTCCATTTCCAACTCCAAGCAAAACTAGTTGTACACCCGCGTAGGCCTACTTCTAGCCACAGGCACTGCGTCAGGTTCTAGCATGGTCGTGTCGTGAAGATCGTCGTGGACTCGTTTTGTATGGGAATGCGAATGAAGAAAGGCAAAATACTGATAATGCATTTGCTTTCCCTGATTTTATTTCTAGTGCGCTCCTACAACAACGAACAGACGCCGCCGACGTTGCCAAGCCCTCGTTCGAGCAGCTGGCGAAGCGGCACGACAAGAGTCTGGAGAAGATCATGGAAATCTATGCGCAGTTCAAGGGCTTCCTCCCCGAAGACCAGGAGTGCAACTACCCAGACGAGCCCGCACATCTCACGAAGGAGATCATCCGGAAGATTTTCACCGAGCGCTACCCCGATTGCGACGACGAGGAGTTCGAAGACCGGTATGGCCTGGTCGATTTCGATGGCGGTGGTGAGATCGAATTCGACGAGTACCTGGACTTCGGCTTTGACAATGAGGACGAGGAGGAAGACGAATAGTTCGCAGGTCAGGGTTCAACTAGTAGGTCGAGGTCCGCCATCGCGCCGCGGGGGATAAGGTTAAGGAACATCTGACCGTGTTCCTATCCGTCTACTCTACAACTTGTGATTCTGCGCCGTCTATTACACGAAAAGTAAAATTGATACTACGGGTGCCACATCAACATCACACTTAACCAGATTTTTACCACTGCTAACTCGCCGAAGATTCGAGCTCTATGTGAAACAGGACGCTCCATCCTGTATTGAGCAAATAACCAACAATATTCTATCACATTTCGCTACAATCGAAAGAGAAACAATTGATAATATGTCACTTCGAGGAAACCGCTCGTCCGGCTCCAGGGACAACCGGGACGGACAGAGAGAGAGTGGTCGCCATTTTTCCTTGATGGAAATGGTGCATCTTGACAGTAAGGAAATGTGGCGGAGGCCTCCACTGTAAGAACTTATCAGATTGATGTAAGGTCGTGTACCAAATAAAAACAGAGCTAAAACGCATTTTGGCGCGTCCCCGATGACTCGAGGGGAGCGCAGCGCCATGTAACGGCTTGTGCCTTGTGACTAAATGGCAGCTAACCTTGCAGCCACCTCACTTGTGGCATTCTTTTTGTTTGCTATTGCTTTTGACGACGACCGCAAGCTTGGCCCTCAATCTCATGAGTGAGCAGGGCAGCGAGAAAGGCATCTTGGAGAACGACTGCGACCCCTGCTACAGTGACAAAGCAGTGAGCGTGAGAGCAAGTACATAAACGAAGATCAGTTGTCTGTACGTATCTATTCAAGCCGGTCCCTCCAGTTCTGTTTCCGAGTGTACCTCCGTGTCTGGTCGTGATGTGTATGACTTACGCTTGCGAATGTTCACGTGTAGAGGTTCTACTTAACTAGAGGCTCTTAACGTTCTTGGCCGCGGCCCCGGTACCTGAAAGCTTCACCGTACCACGCTTCTCCTGCAAACACAAAACTTTACGCCCAACTGCCTGTCGGCTTGTGTCATTTTCGTTTTCGTTGTGTACTTTTGGATTGCGAAGCCTTTCCCCGGTGCAGCCAACATGCCTTCCGTCCGACACAACTACGTCCCTATCGGGTCCGTCGACACAGAACTGGAGGACCTCACGAGAACCACGCCTGCAACATCTAGCGCGTCGTTTGCTGGAAAAAGGATACCAAATCCTCTCGATCTGGAGGAACAGCGCTTGCACCAAAACGCTGCGAGTCATGGTGTGCTCCCAAACCCTTCGACGATTGGCGCCGCATCTGCAAATGACTCCGAAGCTGCGCAACTGCTTTCCGCGCTAGACGACACGGAGCGGAAACATGCGAGGAAGAAATGGGTGAAAGGACTGAACTGGGTGTGGGACAAAATTCACGCAGCCTTCTGGGTATTCTTTACCTGCGCCATGATCTACTGGACGAACTTCTTCCGCGTCATTTGGGAGTCCCCCCTGGTGCACCGCAGCTACCTGCTCATGGGCTTTTCCTGTCTCGGGTTCAACATGAGCCTGCTCTTCTACCTGGCGATCGTACATTTTTTTTGATCTCCTGACGATGTTTTCACTCGCGCTAGATGTTGATATTTGTATACTACGCCACAGAAGATGAAATTTAATTGTACTATGCGGCTTCTTGTAGTTGTTTTTATAAAAATGAAGATATCTTCGTTGGTAACCGGATTCGAATATATGCGAAGCAGAAAAGGCCCAAAAACCGAAATACCGTCGGGCCTGCGCAGGCCGGCAGAACATAACTTCTGAAAGATTCTGCCAGAAGCATGCGCATTCAGGTGGGGGGAAGAGCTTGAGCAAGGCATAAGATTGCGACTCACAAATGACCCAAAAACCGAAATACAGTCGGGCCTGTGCAGACCGCCAGCAAGCAACTTGTAATTTTTTCGTTCAGGAGAGTGAAGATTCAGCTCGGGGGGGAACGTTGCTTGAGGCGAACAAATGCGAAGAAGAAAAGGCCCAAAAACCGAAATACCGTCGGGCCTGTGCAGGCCGGCAGAACATAACTTCTGAAAGCTTCTGTCGGCAGCATGCAGATTCAGTTGGGGAAAAGAACTTGAGCAAGGCAAAAAATTGCGACACAAAAAGGACCCAAAAACCGAAATACCGTTGGGCCTGTGCAGACCGCCAGCAAGCAACTTGCGAGTCTTTCGCTCAAAAGAGTGAAGATTCAGTTCGGGGGGGAACCTTTCTCGAGGCGAATAAGTGCGAAGAAGAAAGGGCCCAAAAACCGAAATACCGTCGCGCCTGTGCAGGCCGGCAGAACATAACTTCTGAAAGATTCTTCCAGAAGCATGCAGATTCAGGTGGGGGGAAGAGCTTGAGCAAGGCATAAAGTTGCGAAACAAAAATGGCCCAAAAACCGAAATGCCATCGGGCCTGTGCAGACCGCCAGCAAGCAACTTGCAAGTTTTTCGCTCAGGAGAGTGAAGATTCAGGTCGGGGGGGAAAGTTGTTTGAGGCGAATAAATGGAAAGAAGAAAAGGCCAAAAAACCGAAATACCGTCGGGCCTGTGCAGGCCGGCAGAACATAACTTCTGAAAGATTCTGTCGGAAGCATGCAGATTCAGAGCGGGGGAAGAACTTGAGCAAGGTATCAAATTGCAGCAAAAAAATGACCCAAAAACCGAAATACCGTCGGGCCTGTGCAGACCGCCAGCAAGCAAGTTGTAGGTCTTTCGCTCAAAAGAGTGAAGATTCAGGTCGGGGGGGAAAGTTGCTTGAGGCGAACAAATGCGAAGAAGAAAAGGCCCAAAAACCGAAGTATCGTCGGGCCTGTGCAGGCCGGCAGAACATAACTTCTGAAAGATTCTGTCGGCAGCATGCAGATTCAGTTGGGGGAAAGAACTTGAGAAAGGCATCAAATTGCGACAAAAAAATGACCCAAAAACCGAAATACCGTCGGGCCTGTGCAGACCTCCAGCAAGCAACTTGCGAGTCTTTCGCTCAAAAGAGTGAAGATTCAGGTCGGGGGGGAAAGTTGCTTGAGGCGAACAAATGCGAAGAAGAAAAGGCCCAAAAACCGAAATACCGTCGGGCCTGTGCAGGCCGGCAGCACACAACTCCTGAAAGAGTCTTTCGGAAGCATGCAGATTCTGAGCGGGGGAAGAACTTGAGCAAGGTATCAAATTGCAGCAAAAAAATGACCCAAAAACCGAAATACCGTCGGGCCTGTGCAGGAGACCGCCAGCAAGCAAGTTGTAGGTCTTTCGCTCAAAAGAGTGAGGATTCAGTTCGGGGGGGCACCTTGCTCGAGGCGAATAAGTGCGAAGAAGAAAGGGCCCAAAAACCGAAATCCCGTCGGGCCTGTCCAGGCCGGCAGAACATAACTTCTGAAAGATTCTGTCAGAAGCATGCAGATTCAGGTGGGGGGAAGAGCTTGAGCAAGGCATAAGTATATTTATAAGACTGCGACACACAGATGACCCAAAAACCGAAATACCATCGGGCCTGTACAGACCGCCAGCAAGCAACTCCAATTCACTTCTAACACTAACTGTTAGACGTGAATTTATTGGAAATCACGATGATTCTTCTGTTCCAGGTATGCGACTTCTGGTGGAAAATGGATTCTGCCGCCGTGGAAAAACATCTTCCGCAAGCAGCCCCCGCTATGATGGTTGCCGCAGTTTTGACCTTTTTCCTCTTCCTTGTCGCTCTGTACCCGGTTTTCGGGTTTTTCCTGACCGTTTCCCTCCAGTTTACCTTCTTCATGGGTTTCGTCAACGCCGGACACTTCCTACCCTCCGGCGCCATCGGGTCCGTGTGCATGTTCGTGATCTTCTTCGCGGCCTTTGCAACAAGCATCTGGATACCGCACGAAGGCCTGGCCCACTACGGAAGGTCTGCGGCAGCATTAGCGGCTCGCGGGGAACAACTTGGCACAGACACGTCAGTACCAGCGGGACTAGCATAGCAGGAACGCTTCGTGCGTATAATGGAACTAGTGCTGTTCGCTACATGATACATGTGGTGCATCAAATTGAATATCGCATGCTACAGATGATGAAGCGCGCTACGAAAAACTGACGATCATCACATTTATTATCAAAGAAAAATTCCAAACGCTGTGAGTAGAACTGTGAAGCACAGTCTGCGCAAACTGTTGTCGATGGTGATGTGTATATAAGCCCACCCTTTGGCGTTTACTTCGAGTAAAGTATTGGGCGTACTATCCATGAATGAGCACATACGAATGTAGATCTGGTATCCCGCGGCCATGAGCATGAGAACGATGATCAGGGTCGGTGTCTTCATAAAGAAAATCGGTCATGCTGCATCCTTTAGCTGGAGAGAAATTGTTTTTTTCGTTGATCCCGGAGCGGGACGATCCAAGTACGATGATGGATCGCATTCTGCATATGTAGTTTTAAGCGAGCTTCATCTACCAGCAGATAGAGAAGCGCACACTTGATCTTGTCCAAAATGCATTGTAACGCTCACGCCTAGTATAGCTCGCGAAACCAAAACGCTGGGATGAAAGAACATTGCTGCAGCGACGAAGCTAAAGGATCTCGGTAGAAGATGAAGGAGAAAGATCAACGGACAGATAGAGCATTGCCAACGTTATCATCATCTCTGGATTGTGATCCACATCTTTTAACGAACTTCTGACAGATCCCCGCGGCGACCAGGATGTGACAGATCCCCTCGACATAGACATTGTTGTTTTCGTCCTAGCAACTTTCTCTCCTTCTTGATTTTGTGTAGCAACGCACAACTACCCTGGATTTTGCTATCATTTGAAGTGATTTGCTTTCAAGCAAAGCGGCTAGGATATGACCTTGCGTAAGAGAAATTGACAGCAGCAAGAAAGATGATGTCAAGGTAAGAGCATTGCAAGAATAAAGCTAAGTAAGACTGAACCGACTAAGTTCGCCGCTCAATTTTTCAGATGTAGCGTGTTGTTGAAAGAATGCGATAGACGCTCATGCGCAGCATTACAATACGAAGAGCAAAAATACGAAGACTTCTTGTACGGCTTTACTAACTAGTACATCTTCAAACTACGCAAATAATGAACTACCTCCGGTCGTTCGCGTTCCGTAGGAAGTAAGCAGGTCGTAACAAGCAGCACCACACACTACATCCGATAAAGTAGTTCATCGCTCTCGCGTATCACGAAACAGAGCCCGAGGACAAGAACGACAGCCCTTTCATCGTCTCGGCAGGATCATGTGGACGAAGATGAAGATTAGAAGCACTTCTACGTTGCTGGTGGTGGGGCTGCATGCATCGGGTCGCGCTTTTCTGGCGTCCGCGGACTCCTCGCCCTCGGCCGCAGGACCTTCGACGGAAGATCCGGGCCAGCAGCAGTTGCAAAAGATGCTCAACTGGGCCATAGGCAAGAGCGATCCGGAGAAGGTAAAGCAGATGGCCGAGGAGTTTACGCAAAATGGCCAAACCATTGAGGATCTCTACGGAAAGGAAGTGCTAGACCAGATCTTCGAGGCAGGGTACGTATTAGTTGCTTTTTCTTGTGCCTATTTGTATTTTGTTTCGCTCCCCCTGTAGAAGTGTAACCTCGAGGGCGGGACTACAGGCCGAGATCTCACCGTGGTGCGCGAAAACAAGGAAATAGCCAACAGAACAGCTGGTAGCATGATATCGTGCGTGGTATCGTGTAGAAATTACTTCAGAGTACGGCCTATCGAGTAGGAAGGGATTTTTCATTTTCTTCATATAATCTGCCCACACCCTCCTGCTCTATCACTGTGCAAGTAGTCAAACTTCAACTACTTCAGGGGAAAGCCGCACTTTGTGCAGGAGTTGGCGGAGGAGCTGACCGAGCAGATGAAGGAGCTCCAGCTGTTCTACGAAGGAAAAGCATGGATCACAATCAAGGATTTCAAACAAGTTGCTGAGCGGTTGTTCGGCACAGGTCTGGTTTCTATGCAAGACAACTTGGGCTATCTGCTGGAATGGGAGCGCTTTGCCGTGCAGGACGAGTTCGAAGCGACCAAACGGGACAGCATAAAAGCAGCCGCCGCCGAAGATCAAGCAACTTCGAACAGGACAACACAGGCGGGGAAGAAACATCATTATTTTCAACGAGGACCCGTCTACGCGGCGCGCACGCCGCTGCCGCTGTCCAAGCTGTTGCAGTCCCACGAGTTCAGCCCGGTTGCGTTGGAGCTGCTCAAGATGCACTATAAAACGACGGACGCGGCTATTCTTGGGATCCAGGAACAGCAAAAAGAGGATGCCGAGCTGGACGCTATGGACGCGCCAGAAGACGACGACGAGAAGGAGGGCGGGGCAAAAGCGGAAGCAAAACCGAGACAGCTGTGGACGAAAAAAGAGATCAAGGTAAAGCTCTCGCCGCCGGTAGGCGTTAACTATGGCAGTTTGAGCAAGGGGAACCTGAAACGCATAGCCACCGTGGAAGCCGTCTCACCGTATTTACTACTTTTTTTTTTTTTCCATGCTTGCTCGTCCGCACCTTCACTCTCAGACATTCTAAAGCTTCTCCACTGGTTGTAGTACTTCTTCCCTGACTTCTGGTTCTCATCTTCTATTCTCTTCGGAACATGCAACATCTTACGAAATGAGCCCGATAGCGGAACGATTCTGATTCAACTTCGCGTGCTCGGAGGTGTGCCAGGTCTCCGTATCGTATATATTTAATTCGTCGTGTTGTACATAATCATGACCGAAAATAAGCATCGACACTTTTGTCATCTATCATTATTCTTTTAAATATCAAGAATCAGTGCTCTGCTACCGCAACATAATCATAACCAGGTATGATCAAGGCCGCGATGGACGAGGGCACACTCCAGGGTTTGATCCGTCCAGAGACACCCCTGAATCCCTGACCAAAATGAGCGCGAGCGAGGTGCTTCCGGTAGGAACACCGAGGCCGGGGGACGACTCTAACATCACTAACGCTAGTACTAGCGCGGTCACTTCTAGTACCGAGCAACGAGGAGAGCAACTCACTTCGAGTAGCGAGCTGGACCGCTCGAAAATCCACAAGGAAGCCAGCACGAAAAATGCCGCAGAAATTGTCATTCTCGACGATGAGCCTCACACGTTGACAGAATATTACTCCCTGGGGGTTCCTGCCTCCAAGTCATCCGCCACGAGCCGCGGCAATGGTGTCAAAGAAGTAGAGGCGTATCGGGATTTCTCCAAAGCAGAAGCGAAAACGCTATCACAGAAAGAAGCGTAGAAGTAAGGGTAGCGGCGGCCCGAATAACGCAGCTGTGGGAGAAGTGTATGATTAGCACATACAGCATGTAAAAACGCGCTGGTGAATGAAGAAACACGTGAGCAAAAATTTGCATAGCATATAGGAGCATAATTGATACATAGGGATGAACAACAAACGAACACGTTCTTGGAGTTGATGCTAGGATGAACTCGAACACTGCAATGTGCAAAGACCGTTATCCTTACTTGCAACGACTTTTCTGGCTGATAAAAGTACGATTATGTGCACGAGCTCGTCGAAGGAGGTTTGATGGAAAAGTTGCAGAACATTTTGAAGATCCTGGATGTGACCGAGTATGAGCTGTCCGACCTGAACACCGCGGAGATTGCCCACCAGGCGGGAATCGTGCAACCTCTGGTGACCCTGGTGGAGGACGGAGCCGCCTGTATGGACGAGACGGAGCCGTTTTCGCTAACGCGCACGGTTGTGGACGATCGCGACGCCATTTCCGACGCCAACGCTGCGTCGCAGGAGATAAGGGGGAGACTCGCTTGGAGTCTGCTGTGTGGCGTGCGGCTGGCGCTCTCCGAGCAGGCAAGCAAGGCGCTGCAGAGCATGCTGCAAAACAATTTTCCCGGGCAAAAGGAGTTTTTGGAAAAATATTACAAAACCTCCAAGCTTTTCGAATGGAAGTGGTTTGAACGCATGTTCTTTCGGGATTGGAACCCGTGGCAGGTCCTTCTGGAAGCCACGGACGCGGAAATCACGCCGCCTGTGAGTAGACCCCATCCTCCCCCGGACACTTTTCACACAACGGGCGTGACCCAAGTGCCGCCAATGCTGTCCCAATTACAGCCAGCGCTGCCTCTGACAGGCAGCATGTGGGAGCAGGAGGTCCCTTCGGTCCCTGGTCCAGACCAGGACGACAAGAAAACCAGCGAGGACACCAGCACCGCCGCTGGTGCCACGAACGTTTCCCCTACTTCTAGTAGAAGGATCGAGCCGGTTGTTCGAAGGAATTTTCACCAGCTTCTGCTACGGCGACAGGCCATATCGCTTTTCGTCGCCATGCTGCGCAACGGCACTCCAGAGTTGCTGCACTCGGTCCGCGCCCAAGCCCTCTTGCTGCATCTGTATGAAGCCTTGCGCGTGCTCCAGGACAGCTATACATTCGGAAAGATGCACACAGAGCTGAATAACACGATGATTGGCAGAGACGGGGACCCGTCTGCAGATCCACGCAACACTACGGTCCTTTCGTTCTACTCTATCCCAAGCAAAAACGTCCCCTCCACCCCATAGTTGTCACGCCTATTCGCATCTAGATCTACAGATGAAATATATGTAATGCGCATCCGCATGACAGGAATTTGTACTTGTAGTCGTATTTTGAGGTTTGTAGTGCTGATGTAATCAGTATCAGCATGAGCACGAGCAGGCGTCTTTGTAATGCGGCTCTCCTTGCTAATCCTAATCAGCACTACACTACAGATGGAAATTTCTTATGCACAATTCCCAAAGCTTCAGCTTGGAGATTTGTGTTGCAGACTTGGCAACTTGACTATGGGGTGGGGAAGTTTTTGCTCAGGATATACTCCGAGGAGATGCTAAGAAAGAATGTGGGAAAGGGAAGTGACCATTTCTGGGCCGTAATTTTCCACACGGAGCCCGCACGAGAGATGGTGATTGATTCAACTTCTCGCATCACGCTGCCGAACCCCATTGCCGAGGCGGAGGCCATCAAGGAAGGGGAAGACCTGACACTTTGGAAATACTTGGATGAGAACATGCTGCATGACACGAATCCCACCAAGTTTCTGCGCGACTTCCACATACTTGGCGTCAGACAAGGTGCGCGATCACCCGCTCGCCGGGACCAGACGGCCCGGGAACAGAGGTTGCGTGTTCCGGCACTCTTCAAAAAGATTCCGCTGCGGGAGGTTGCTCGGTTTCGCGCCGCGATTTTGTCCTGGCTGGCGAGCGTGAACGAGCTGGAGTGGTTCAATTTGGCGTCGAAAGAACAGTACGCAGCGAAAGCCCAGGAGCAGTGGAATAACTGGGCGATGACGCAGGCCGATGTCGACGAGGTGGCCGGCGAAGAGCAACACCTGCCCTTCGTGCCGGAAAACGATCCGGGTCGCGTGAAAACCGGCCTGGACCACGCCACGGGACTCCCCAGACCCTGGTATGTCGACGAAATTCGCCACGACTACGTCACTCCGATCATCAATGACAAATCGATCCCGTCTCACGAGCGCGCGGCGGCACGCAGGCTTTACGTTGCGCTACGGAGGTTTCGGCCGGACGTTTTCTCCGACGGGAGTATAACGTGGGCCGAGGACGACGACGACATCACCCCGTTTAATACGATGCCGGAATCGATAATTAATGACAAGGAGACTGAGCCAGCTGTGGTGGAGGGCGATGATCATGATGCGGCTACGGAGGAACATGGAAGAGAGGCAGGGAAGATTCCAGAAGATGTTGATGAACGATCGGAATCAACTGTAGAAGCAGGAGGCAGCATGTCGCTTCCTCCCTCGCTGCGCAACCTGGTGTCCCTATTGTGAAAGAGGACCTGTAAGAAGCACGAGAGTGGACGAATTGTACTCTAGTGGGACGTTGTCATGAGAAAAAAATCTAGCGACATTTACATACTGTTCTGTTAGTTCGTCATATCTGCCGAGTACCTCTTATACTCCTGTGGATGAAGCACTACATCCATTGGAAGCCTCACCTGTATTTTTTCTGTTGTACTTGTACCCACGCAAGAACGATTTTTCAATTCCTTGACCTCATTCACACCAGACTGACACGCCTCTTTGTAGAACGTGATGCAAAGACCTGGCGAAAAACCAAAAGAGAGTGCCGCCCTCTGTTGTGATGAGGTGCCGATCTATTTTTCAGTAAACGAAGTCTAACGACGAAGCATGCGCATCTGCATCCGCATTTATCGGGAAGCCAGCTGGCGACTCGAATTCGATTTCGATTCTAAATCAGATTCGATGCCTAGCGTCTTCTGCCTGATGTTGTTCTGTTTCTGCTACTATAGTCTTATTGGAAGGTAGGAGGTCGAAACGCGTTCAGCGATAATTATGTAGTTGGCCGCTTTCCTTTTCGTTTTTTAGCATAGATAGAAATTTATTCGTGCCAAGGAAGAAAAGTAGGAGAAAGACATAGCGATAGCATCTTCAGCAACTACTGAAGAACAGGTACAGCAGCAGCCGTAAAGGTAAATAAAGTTCTGCGTTGTGAGCGAAGGTTGTTAAGGCATGACGGGCAGATCATATGTATATCAAATGCCTCAACAACCTGTCATCTTCGAGCGCAGCTACAAGGACGCAGTTATTTCTGATCGTGATGCAAGTTGATCCGCGCCATAATCATATGCATTTGTGCGTGTGCCACCTGCTGGCTTGCAAGCGTCCATACATACACATACACTGCACAAGCGTCTCCAGAAGAACGAGTGGCTCGATATGGATCGCTTCGTTCCTCACCGTCTGCGCATCAATCTGCCCGCGACCACTACTAGGACCGTCAAGCAATGTGTTGCAAATGAAATTCAACTACTAGGAAGCGCATCAGCCTGCAGCTTGATTCATTTTGATTGACGATTTTGACTTTTTCTCGATTTTGCGAATAATGAAAAAGAACAAGAAGAGAATGTGTGACGTCGTTGCATCGGGTTCAGGTCAGCACCTGCTCGGGTCATGCAGTGCTCGTGCTACCTTCAACGAGCATCGAGCGGGCCTTGCCCTCGTAGTCGGTCGGGTAGTTACGGTTGCACCAGCAGCTTTCACTTTGTGACAGTCTCCCATCCAGCGTGCGGCGGAGCACACGGACCATTCTGCGAGACGAGATGATACTTGAGGGATGGTATCCTGTGCAAAAGTATCGTACTCGTAGTAATAAAATTGCTATCATGCATGACAAATATGCCTTTTTTGATGAATCAGCATGACAAATTTCATTTTTCCTTATGGAAAAATTTGTGATGCGATTTATACTAGTACGATGCTTTTGCAATGCATAGATGGATGCGTTCGACCGTAGCGCAACTGGGGGGCGGTTCCGCGCCGATTCTGGACTGCGCGACGACCACCGGTGCGGCTACGTCCCCTTCAACGACCAACTGCTTCTTGCATGCCAGCAGTAGTTCTCCTCCCGCACCATGGCAAAACAGCTTCATGCCGGAAATTTATGTTGTCGTCGACAAGTGCGAGTCCCGGTGGTCTTGCCACATGACAATGCTCGACCAGAAGAAACAGACCCTGGAGTATCTTGAGCATAGCTTTGTCCCGGTCGTCAGTTACCAGGAAAAGGACGACCAACTGTTCCACCAGAGGCTAAAGCAGGTGCGGAGCTGGTCAGCCGCTTGCCGTCGGGCGGACGAAAATCGGCGCAAGCGAGAGGCACGGCGAGAGGAGAAGTTCCAGAAAAGTCTGCAGAAAACAGGCATCTTCGCCGGCCGTGGTGCCGGGGGGCCCCGGAGCGCGTCCTTTGCGACCCGGCGGGGGTCTCCGCCCTTGGCACTCCAGGCGCCCAGAACTGCACCTAACTTGAGCTCCAATGTGGCGGGTGTAGAAGACTTTTCGACTACAAGAACTCCACGGGAGGACAGCTACAAGAACACAACTGGCCGACGTGTGGTAGCTACAGCACGCGAGGATCTGGAAACAAGCATTTGTACCTCCGAATCACGACGACCCGTGGACGAGGGGCCTGGTACTCGAGCAGGAGTAAACGAACAGAAAGAGATTGACGATCATCAACCTGCAGTCTCGACATTGCAGCCACCCCCGCCATCGTTTCCGTCCTCGTCTCCCTACATAGCTGATAGTGTCTTGAAACTTCTCCCCCGATCGAATCCCGAGCTGGAATTGCCAAAGCGAAGTAGTCCTTTCATCATCCCTCCCAGCCTCTCGCCTGCTGGTGAGTCTAACAGTACCGCCTCCACCCTTATTGCGCTGCTAGGCAGGCTGCAGCAGGCTTCGACGAAAGATAGCGACTGCGTCTCTACTGCTGGTGCTGTTGGGGATTCAGGACCGAGTGGTGCAACGACCAGCGATATACTGGGAACGATTCCTGAGTGGTGCAGACAAACGTCCACAGGCACAGCGCTGACATCCAGCAGCGAAGACACGAGCACGACGTCTTCCTCTTCCGCGTCCTCCAATGGCGCTCTTCTGCACGATTTTGGACTGGGGTTCTGCTCCGAAGCATCACCAGGTTCATCCGGTACTTTACAGGTAGAGCAACAGCTTGACAGAAGTGGAAAAATCGGTAATGGCGCATCTTCACCATCTTCTCGCAGTATTTTCCGCAGCAACGACTACCCGGAGCAACTCTCTGCAACCTCCGCTTCTAGGTCCGACCGCAGCAGTGTCGTCCAAAAGGGCATTGTGGACCTCGATGAGGTTGCCGGTTGTAGTACTCTTGCTGGCCACGAAGGCGCCGCATGGCAGGACGCTAAGTTGTTGGACTTTCGCGCGTCCTCTATGTGGACAAGCTTTAAGACTTCTCGCGCAGAGCGCGATACTTACGACGCAGCGCGCCCAGTGATTGCCAAAAACTTCACGGAACTCGCAGGCGATGCGATTTTGGCTCCGAACAAGCTTAGCGCCTGCAGCAAAAATGTCGCCAACGCGGCAGCAATGCTGGAGCGCAAGAATCGTTCCGGACAGCCGGCACTGCGACGAGCGAAAACGCTGCCAAACCACGAGATCGGCGCTTCCGGTGTCCCGGCTACGCCCCGTCGCGACAACAATGATCTTCGACAAGCACCAGCTACGAGCGCTACTACGGCGGGAAGCACCACTAGCAGCACAGACCATTGCAACAATAAACTATCCCCATTCATTATGCCGCAGGTCCCAAGCCTCAGAGACGCGATGCTAGCCTGCGTGCACACTTCCCGGGGACGCAAAAGCGAAAACGAGGACTCTGAAGAAGACAAACCGAAGTACAGAATTCGCCCGGTTGCGATGACAGCTCGTGCAGCTCCCTTTTCGCAGTATACGTCGGAAGATAAAATTGCGCCACGCGGCCAGCGATTTATCCAAAAACAGGACCCTGACTGGAAACGCCAAGCCGCTTCTCGACGGGCGAATCGACCGGGTGGAACCAGCTGGACGAGTAAGCCGCAACGAAAGAAGCACGACCGCCCTCTTGACGGTCATCCTTTGCGCAAGGCTTGTGAGCCCTTTCTGGATCCGTCTTCCTTCTATGGACCTGAACCCCCGAGGCTCGAGAATCGTCTGTCGCAAAATTACTTCTGCACGGATCCCAAGGAGATCTGGATCGAGTACGACAGCCCAAGCCCAAGCGTCGAAAAGTCGTTCGCTCTGCCTCCGCCCTCCAATGCCGGCTCGCCTTTGCTCGCGTCTGCCTTTGCGTGGTCTGCTAGTACATCATCTGCTGTGGAGCAGCAGAAGGCCTCGTCAGCACAAACGACGACTTATAAAAGCAGTCCTCCCGCAACTTTGGTGAGTTGGCTCGGGGGGAGGACCAACGCAATCGATAGCGGTACTGGGTCAACATCCCCAACTGCACCTGCGTCATCTCCGGAATTGCAGCATATTAAAGCCGGCGCTTCATCTTCGCCTTTGGGAAGTTATCTCTCGGCAAGCAAAAATGAAAATCCCGACCCACAGCACGTAAAGAAGAAGACCTTTCCTGTTGAAAAAACGCTCGATGAGGGTCGTACAATCCGCGTCTGGGCCAGTCGTCCGTGCTCGCAGCGATTTTTCGAACAATTGCGACGTGCGCGGAAGATGCAACCAGTGGAAGTTCATCCCGGAGTTGTGCAGAGCGCGAAGCTGAGCAAATTACGGATCTCTTCGTCCACCACGAATGACATTCCGGCTAGTATGGCATCCGTTACGATAACGACCACGACCGGCGCGCCCCTTACCACAACTAAGACAACCCTAGCGCCGGCGTCAAATCGCTCCTTGTCCAGCGCACCAGAAGATTCTACTGTCGTTGCGCCGCTGCTGCTGACAAGCACGACACCGGCTCCGGGAGGCCCAAATAAGGAATCGCAATCGCAAGTAGAAGAGCACCAGGCCGCGGCGGTGCACTCTGCCGGAGTAGATCAGGAAGCGCCACGCATTCCAGGAGCATGCAACAATTTGTCATTGTCGCTGACTGCTTCCTCGATGGTCACGAGGAAACAGCACACAGACAACGCTAACACAACTTCCTCGTCAGTTGCCGCTCTTACAGAAGAACAGAAGCCGTCCGCGTCTCCTGCTAGTAACGTTGTCTCTTTCGGTCTTCGGATGGAAGCTGGGTCGCCACTGCACACGTTCTCGGATTCGCCGCAGGGCGAGAAGGCCGAGTCTTCAGAATTCCTTCTGCGACCAAGGCGGTCCCGGCGGATCAGGCTCCAAGTTGCGCAGTTGCGTCTTGATGCTGCATCAGACGACGAAGGACCACGGGCTGTTGGAACAACTCCGCTAGCGGAGGATTACAACTCCGCTAGCGGTGGACCCCCCGAAGAGCTGCTGCGGCAGCCGGGAACTGCCCCTGCAGCTATGTCGTGCGGACGTGAGGGAGGCTTGCGATTGCTGGAGGACGGCATGGAGAACCTGCGAATCTGCGCGCCTCAGGAGGGTGCAGGTGGTTCCTCGGCGACGACAAGGAGCGCCGGGACGTGTGGGAACTTCGACCCCGCGGATTCCGCACCGAGAACTCTTGCCACCGCTCCTGCATCTGCATATAATGCGCTTGCTGGTGCCCCTCCGACAGGCGCGGGGAACATCTCTGCGAATTCGATTTCGCGCGGCCACTCGCCACTCGGTACCTGGTCGGAACCCCCTAGCAGCCACGGGTCGCCTGACTTCCAGGGTATGTGTCCGCATAGCGATGTGAGCACGCGCTGCAGCCCAGAGCAGACGGCAAAGGAGCTTCGCGATGATCACAGCCTCATCGACGAAGAAGATCTTGAGGATGCCCTTGCAGGCACTGAGCGCGTGCAGTCGCAGATGCAAGCAAGAAAAGCAATCGAAGATCGCGTGCTTGCAACAGAAGTTATCAAAGCACTTGTGGCGCACGCCGCGAAAAGTACAAGGAGTGCGAATCACGGACAACTCGATGTTGCTGACGCGGACGAATCGCAGCTCGAGCCGCCCATGAAGAATTCAACCGTGGTTGCTTGCAGCACTTGTTCGCCTCCTCTTGGCGAAAGGGAAAGCAGGACATGGAACGGACTCGGTACCAACTCGTCAGAGGCACCAGCCAATCCTGCGGCTTCGCCTGGTAATCAGAGGACCTCTACCGATATCGGGGTGATGGCGCCGATGATGACAACAGACACGACCACCCAAGACGCGGCCTCTTCTAAAAATGCGTCAACTTATTGTTGCGCGACGACGTCCGATCCGCCCACCTGGGATTGGCTTCACAAGACACGCCGCCCTCGGTTCCAAAACAGGACCGCATTCACCGCAGAAGCCCCATTCTCTCGACCGGCGCACGACATGCAGGACGTCACGACTAGTGCAACTAATGTTGTTGGAACCAGTCCGCAGGTAGAAGATTTATTGGGGACAAGGGGCGGAGGTGGCGAAGGCGAAAGCGCACCTAAAGCTGCTCCCGCTCTGTCCTACGAAGGATCGCCCTCGCAGCCCTTCATGTCTCCTGCGCCAGCCCGTGTGTCCGTATCTCCCTTTCTGTCAGCGCATTCTTCGCCGCTTGGAAGCACGATGTCAGAGATGCTGCCTGTTGTCGTTCCGACACCTCCCACTCCTGCCTCTGCGTCTATGTTGGAACGACCGCTGGGGCAGCTACAGCCCTCAAGTCCGTCAAGTGAGCTAGAAGCTCCATCAGCAACAGGGGGAGCTTTTGCCTCGCTCTTTGCTGCGGTACCCCGCGCTTTTGGCAGGACCACGCCCGAGCAGGCTATAAGGGAAAATGGTGCCTCCCCCTCCACCGGAGGTGAGGCTCTTCGTCCTTCGAGCAAGAAACGCGAAGAAAAAAGTAGTTCAGCACTCGGCGATCAAACTACCCCAGCATCGCCGGAGAAAATCAGCGATCCTAAGTCGTTCGCTTCCTCTGCGACGACGACGAGGGCGACACACCCACACGATCCGGCACAGAGCCGAGCTCACCGACAACAAAAACTACCCAGGCGCATTGTCACTCCTTACGTGCGCCAGATAGATCCCGATGTCTTGTCGGGTGCTGATCAGTGCGGCGCTCAACCGCCCGCGTCGCCTTCACCTTCAAAAGCAGGAACTGGTGCAACGAAGGAGACGAGGGAAAGCTATGCTGCAAATACGAGTGGGAGTGGCGAAAATGAGATCAGCAAGGCACAACAAAAAGCTGCATTATCATCAGACTCTGAAGAAAAAACCCGCTCCATTGACTACGAAATGGTAATGGAGCGCGTTTTCTGTCCCGCTGGAGAATACTTTCTCGAACCGCTGCCAGTAGATACAAGTGGCGCAGACCAATCGATGAAACACGATGCCGGCGTAGCGGAAGGCGAGCAAAGACCTGCTGATGCTGGCGACAACAGTAATGATGCCGCGTGGTCCCACGAACAACCACAAGTTCTTGACACGGAAAACGATTTTACCGCCACTCTTTCGCAGCTCCGACCGGAAGCGCCGTTTGAGAGTCAGGCGCAGCGCGCAGCGCGTTTTGGGTCAGATTTCCGGAAGTTTGTGCTCTTGGAGGGAACGGGACCAGCCGAATTCCGTCTTAACATCGACAAGGACCTGTTCCATCCTGCTGCCATTGTTTTACTGGATGAGCACCGGGGGCGAGTCCCGAACTTGGTTTCTGTTGCACATTTCACCGCCTGTCGCTGCCTCGGCTTCGAGAGGCTGCGTTGCTTCCTCGTACCGAAGGAACTGGTGGACCCCCGGCGGTACCCAACAGTTCTGACCTACGGAACGTCTACCATGTCTCACTCGCCCAGCTTGCCAGTGCCCAGCAGCGGGTCCGTCTTTTCGACTCAGACTTCTTCTTCGCAGCACGAGCCTACCGTCTTGCCCAACGGCCAACTCAAGTCAGCGTCTGCAGAATCTTTCAGACAAGCACTGGATTTGCAGATGCAAGCGATTCGTAAGAGCGGCGGGCAGCGAGTAAAGGGATTGCCCATGCCTCCCCGGGCTTTGTCGGAACAAGAGCACCGAGTCTGCGAAACGATCCTTGTCATTCTGCCTCGACTAATAGACAGTGCCGGTCCGTCGTTCCAGGTAGAGAAATACTGGCATGCTCTGTGTCTTGTGGTGTTGCGCGGCGCTGACGTCGGATTTTGGATGCTGCCCCGTAAAGATTGATCGGCATCGAACGAACTATCACGAAGTTGATGACGAGTTTTTGAATGTGCATGTGTACTGCTGTTGTTTGTGTTATTTGCGCACTGATGCAAATTATTAGCATCTTCAGAATACTGTCGTCGCCTCTTCGTCACAGCTGTTGGTGCGCGCAATTCTCAATTTGTTTGCCGGAGTGCGTGCTCTAGTTTTTGTTTTTACGTTTCACATGGCGGGGGTGCTGGGGCCTCCACGGACGACGTTTTGTTAGGATGCTATGTAGTTGTAGTCACATCAGAATCGCATGTCTAGTACTCACTTCGTAAGTCGCGTTTGATGAACCTCCTACATGCAACTTTCCGTTTTTGTGTAGAGGCAACTTGTAAAAGAAACGAATGGAGGACGAGGAGGACGGTCAGAGATGCTTAACCTTAAGTATTTCCTGGCTTCTTGTTTGGTCCTCGTCCCCGCATATCTCTTTTTCATTTCATCACGAAGTATATCTTTTTCTGCCTGAGATTATTTTTGAGAATACAATGAAAATGCATCGCGAACGTTACTTGACTTTTTTTGATGGAGTCTACATCTACTTCGGAGCACTGCTGCATTTTGGAAATTTGAATTTGTTTATATTATACCGAGCTCGTTGTGGTATGCGTAGATAAATAAAGGAAAGTTTAAAAATACTAGTCATCTATATCCGGCCACCAGGTCGTCGAAAGAGGCAAATGGTTTGCTTTTGGTCCATGTTTCCTGATGTTAATATCTTTCCGCCCGGCTCGAAATCGATTGTTGCATGGGAAGCGCGATTTTTGAGCTCATAGATACCTGTTGTACAATCCACCACGCGCCAGCTCTAAGTGTGACTATGACACAGTCACAGACAATTATTACTTAAACTTGATATGATATGTACTGTGCTGCCTCAAGATCCTGATCCGTTTGTCGAAATGCTTACACTACTACACTAGTTGTTTTGAGTTGATCGTGAAGAGTCAGCGCATCCTTGTCCTCAATTTCCATTTTGCAGGGAGTCTTTCAACGAGGAAACCGCGCAGAGTCAGCAATCTGGTTGCCCTTGAACAACATTGCTTGCGACCAAGGACCTTCATGCTACATTACAGAAAGTAACCGGTTATTTTCGAATGCGGTTACGCTAGAATTGAACAGCAGGCCGAGGCACTGGAGCGCTCGACACGGTCGGCCTGAGCATATGTGCGCGGACCATAGTTGTCACTGGCTTCGTTGTTCGCCGCAAATAAAAGCTAGTGCAACAACATGACAACTAAGACGAGCACAGCAGAAATTCTTCGCTTCTTTGCTTAGCCTTAGGCATAGCGAATCTGAAAGGCTACATTTTCATTCATTGGATCCGAAATGAGTTGCTTGTGTTTTTTTCTCGCGGCGTAGGTTGCTTGCCGATCATCGCGAGATGAATGTCCTCACTTTATTACCGCGGATCAGGATCTCGCTGTCTTTACTGGTTTGAACGATCCCGATTGGGATTCGTAAAGCTATGGCTCTCCTACTCCTTGTTGCCTTCGACTCTGTTCATCCTTTGTCTGAATAGCTTTAGTAGGTAGCGTTGTCCAATGTAGTGAACTACCAGACGGCAACTACATCGCGTATGATATTGGTATGTGTTTTTTGTGCACACGACCGCTACCCTTCAGAGACACCGACTACTTACGAAAACCAAAATCCCACAGCGACGACTATGATGAGCAGAAGCAACAGAAAGGAGCGACAAGAACAGACGAAGTAGATAAGTTTCGAAATCTTATGTAGGCCTCTATGTTTTTGAGTTTTTTCTTGTTTGATGTGATCTTTCTCTATAATGCCATATGTTGAGGAGGCGTAAGTGCAAAGCCACTTAGCCACAAGTATTTTTGTTGAAGCAGCGCTAGAGCGTGGAGTCAGAGCCCGGGCCAACGTTAGCAGAAAGCACAACCTTGCTCACCCGGAAAACCGCGCTTCCACAATTCGAACAAACCAGCAAACAAGGAGCTGCGCGCGGACATGAAGAACCGACTGTGGAGAAATCCCTTGAACTGATATCGAAAAGCCAGGACGACATGGGAGGGCTCTACGACAATTTACCAATTCCGAGGGCTGAAATTTCGTCGCAGGCCGTCTCGAAAGCGAAGCAAGGGCAGCCGCCCTCTACTGGTACAGCGTCGAAAGCAGCAGGAGGGGCGGCCTCGAAGAATGCGCCCACGTTCAAGACAAGACCCGGAGTGCCATCGCATACGCAGTCCACTACAGCTGGTATGAAAAGCGAGGCCCTGCTTCCTTTGGCGGGGGGCGTCGTGAGAGGGATTCTCACATCGTTTTTTTTTCGACTGCTCCAGTTCTTCAGCTTCCTTCCACTTAGACGAGTCAACTACTAGCACGCACGCACCACAAGAACTTTTTTGCTTCAGCGACACTTTTATTTTCATTTGAACTAGGACTACCGATAACGAGTCGAGTCCGAGTGTCAACATCATTCTTGGCTATGCCCAACGGAAAAATGCGAATAAAGTATCAAAAGGCAAATAAAGGGCGACGAATGTTTTGATTTGAGAGAAAATGGACATCAATAATTGACCAAAATCATGTCAGGTGGCGCTCTTCAGAGTGTGCCTGGAGGCATCCCGCGACGGGGGCATGATGCTTCGGGAAGCGTGGTTACGACGGTCGCCGACTCGCGCAAGCCGGTGCCAGGAAGAATGGGCGCACAGGAGGACGGACTGGACCGCGACAGCGGTATTCAGCTGCACGCAAAGCCGAAGGTGCTCGCAAGCAGCAACGCCAGGCTGCTCAGCACAACTGTGAAAGCCGGCGCCAGCAGCTCAAGCAGCAGTCGCGCGGTTACCAGCGCAGCAGCATCCTCGTCGCTCCGGGCTGCGGTTCCTGCAGGAGCTAGCACACTCCTAGCGCAGCGCCAGGGTCTGGTTTCTTCTGCTTCTTCATCTGCAGCCACAAATACACACTCCCGACAAGGACAAGCCGGCGCCGGTGCCGCACAGCAGGGCGACAAAAAGGACCAGGACCGGGCAGGACAAGCTCAAGCTGCCCACGGCGCGCTTTCGGCTGTTGATCGCGATATGGGTTGCAAATCTGTTTGGTTCATCTGGAAAGAATAAACTCGGCGCGCAGACACTGTGTGAATGACCACGAGCAGACTCCAACTAGTTGAGAGCTGCTCTGACGCGTGGCAACTTTTGCAATAACTATTCTTGGGCGGTAAAAGCAAACCCTGTAGTCTTGTCATTGATTTCCAAGCTCATGATTTTTTTGCATGACGATCATGGCCAAAACGAATTGACGTATTTGCCGTTGGATGTATCGCAACATGCTTGACAGTGACATACTTTTTTGCAGCCGTGGTAGAACTACAGGAATGTCAGCACTGCGGGTTGCAGCAAGTTCCAGATGACCCAGACACATTTGCTGTTGATACTCGACAGGGAAGAGCAAAAGCGCAGAATTTTGCTGAACAAGGAGGAGAAACGGAAGGCCACCGCAGCTGCCCGCGAGAGGCAAGCCGGCCGGGAGAAGGAGTCGGAGACGGTCGCGCACACTGAAACGCCCAGCGATGATCTCGACGTCGCGACATTTGCCCTGGATGTGTCGAGCGGCATGCCGCAAGACGTGGACATTGACAAGGAAGAGCGCAGCGCGGCGTTTGTGGCGCTCTTCGAAGATTGCGCAAGCGCAGGAGTGGGGAAGGCAAAAATCTGGCGCGAGAGTGTCAACGGATACCAACTAGCACGCGGCTGGTTTGCCGCTCGAGACCTCCTGGAGTCGAGTGGGGAGCTTGTCGAAGGAAATCCTTCATGTGCTTGGGCTGAGTTCCCGCCGCAGGACCGGTCTGGGTGGTCAAGAAAGCAGCTTTTCAGAGAAAGACCGGAAGATGTTCGGGGAGCTTCTACAGGAAAAATCACTGGGCCAACACCCGCGGACGTGGAGCAGATAATGCTCGCAGAGCTTGCGGAGGCAAACCCCCTGCCGCCACCTCCAGCGAAAGAAACCTCCGACGGTTCCGCCCCGAGCAGCGGCAGTGGCGTTCTGGTGGTTTGCGAGTCTGGCGAAGTGCTCCGTGTGCTTGCCCGGGCGCTGGACTTCCGAACTCTTGACACCGGCGTAAACCGGAAGGACGAAAGAACTATGGCCGAAGCGACCGCCATTTTGGAGGCGAAGCGCAAAGGCTATCGAGTTGCTGTGTCGGAACCCAATCCCGATCTTGGGACCACCTGCTACGCGGCAAGAGTTGAGGGCATCTTCCGCGGTTCGAAGCCGACGCGGATCACCCTTGTAGCGCCCTCCAAGGACAGCGAATTTCGCCGCGGAGTTGCTCAGCAGGAAACGCGGGACGTGAAGAACGGTGGCGGTGCAACAGGCTGCTCCGCAAGCACCCCCGCTGCAGAAGGATCCTCGTCTCTCGAAGGCATCCGGTCCATATTCGACACACAGACGCGGTATGAATGGAAGGAAGATCATCCTGCGTCAGGTCCACCAGGCTCAGCAAGAAGAGACAAACAGCACGAAACGCAGCGAACGCAAGGCCCAGGGCTGCAATTGTGTGGAGTGTAGTAGAAGTAGTTGTAGTTCTAGTCCTTATTATTTTCGATTTCGATGCCGCATGAACAAGATGAGTGAGAATGTAGCACCATTAGGTCGTGGCTCCATGGCCGCGATTCGGGCGACTTTCATTTTCCGCATTTTGGTGAATGTACAGGTGTAAAAAAGCATGCTCATGTTGCATCTTTATCTCTCACTTTGTGCTTATCAAGACAGACATTTCATTTCTTGCTGAGCCCGGAACAACTGACGAAACGGCTTTTGGGTTCATGAACGAAAAGACGAAATCACAAAGCAGGCAGAGCTCCATGCCGCGATCCGCAGTTTTAGCAGCGGCACGGTGCTGGGGCGTCCCAGACGGGGATGGGATGGCCGGGTAGAACAGTGCCTCCAAGAGGTGCGCGAGCTTTTTGCTGACCACGCTACCGCCGTCTTCTGGATGGACCCAGATCTTGTGGGTGACGGAATCGCTGTTGAGCTATGCAAGCAGCTGTGCGAATGCAACAGGAGCAGCAGCCTTCGTCCCGGAGGGCAGACCGAGTGCCTGCGTGCGACAAGCCGGGCCATTGGGGGAGCAGAACAACTGGCCCGACATGCGTTCCGAACGGCGAAACCAATTGCCGACCTTCAGGCGCGGGGCGACGCGTGTGTGGTCCGTTCGGCCGTGCAGCTGCTCGCCCGCGAAGCGTTTGGCAACCTCGCCCAGCATTTCGTCGCGGGAGAAAACCGTAGCTACGTGTTTAAGCAGAAGGAGCAGTTAGTGGCCGTCGCCCACGAGATGGGTTTTCCGGAGCTGACGGCACTGAAAAAAACCTGTCAGCCGCCAGAACAAATCGACACGGACAGCAATGGTGCCATCTTCGAGTTGCAATCAGAGGAATTTCCGGGTGTCGTGTTCAAATGCAACGCCGCGACCGTAACAACTGACCAGCCTGGGTTGCTGGATCGCCGTTCGCAGGACGAGGGGGCACCTCCGAAGCGCGTCTCAGGAGTTGGCAGCGTGTGGAAGGTGTCGAGCTCGCAAATGGAACTGCCGCAGCCACCGCCCTTAAAGCCGACGGAACTGCTGAAGATAGCGGCATGGCACGGAATCACCCCGGCGAGGACGCTCGACGCCGCGCGGCGGCTCTTCCGATGCGGGCTTGTGTCTTTCCCACTGGAGACTGCGGGAGCTGGCGGCCTCTCAGCAATCAACCCGACGGCGCCGATCGCTTTGCTGACGACCGGCAATCAGGAATTCCAGTTTCGGATCGAAACCTACCAGAACACAAAGCAGCAGCTGGAGAACGAAGACGATCGCTACCCCTTTGAAGCTTGTCGCTGTTCCTCCTCCATGCTGGGGTGCTGTTTTGTATTTCCCACGTAGAAGAAGAAGCTTGTGCTAAATTGTATGTAGTGAGGTCACCGAACGGTTCTAGCCGGGGAGTTTTTTTGCCACCTACCGTGAAAAACGACCGGCAGTTTTCAAGCGGCCGGAAGCGTTTTTTGACATAAAAGATTTTCAATTATCAAGCCTCCGGGGCTTTGAAGTCAAACAAGCCCGGTCGAAAACTATCGACTCGCACTGGATAAAACGACGCAGGGAAGCCGGCAAAAGGGGCGCCGTTCCGAGGCGCCCGCCGCCTTGGTTTCTGGCGATTTGGGGCGCCCAAAAAGGGGCGCGCAAAAAACGCGCCCAAAATCAGAACAGCGAAACAGCATGGCACGGCCGCGATTTCGGAGCATCTTGGGCGGCCGCGAAAGCGGCCGCCTTTTCGCCGGTTTTAGAGCCTGGGAAGCTTTGCAAAAAGCGCCGGCGTGAAAAATAAAAACGCGAAAAATAAAAAACGCCCCAGACGCGCAAAGCCAATCCGCATGCTATGGGCCCGGTTTTTCTTCGCTTTTTGGGCGCCCCCCGTGGCACCCGGATCGGCCCCATAGCATCGGGGCTGGCTTTCGGGAAGGAATTTGGGAAATGTGCCAAAATTTGTGATGTTTCCCAAGTGGCCGCCATACCGTGCGGCATAACGTTACTCACGGCGGTATGGCGAGCCCAGAAAAAACAAAGGCGCGGCCAAGGCGGCGGTCGGCAAAAAAACGCCCACGACCTCACTACCCCCGCCCCGGCGGCTATATTTGGTATTTCCCACGTCTTCACCAGTCGCCCACTTCCCACGTCTTCAATCGCCCACGCTCTTCCGAGGCGTTTATCTTGTTTATGCATGCTGCGCGGCAAGCTTCATTTTCTATTTCTTTTTCATTTGGAGCATCTCTGTCGCGTCAGCTGGTACAGCTTAGATGACAATGGAGACCGAGATGTCAATGAACTAGTATTGATGATGAATGGTAACGATATGCAGCAGTGGGTAATAGTTACAGTATCACTGAGTTGCATCAATTGCAGCAACCTTTGCTCTGCGTGGAGATTAAAGCGACTCGCTTCTTGTGGATAGTGGCGCTATTCTCGACATAGTGGAGCGCTACCACACCGCGAGCACGCTGACGCCGACGAGCGGACGCGGAGGCTCGGTTGAAATAAAATACCGGCGCGAGCGGATGCAGGCTGAGACTCCTGGCGTTTTCAAGGACAACCGGAGGCACGAACGAGACCGCGAACGCAGTGCGCGCCTCGCTGTTTGGCACGGAATTCAGTGCGTCGTCCAGAAGGATGCCTACGATCTGGCAAAACTAGTGCCGGAATACGTGGAAGAGCAATGCCCCGGCCTGATATCTTCTATCTCTGCAATTCGGCAGCTGCCGCGCGAGCAACAGCTAGATGTCGAATCCGCATACGCGACGACGACCGATATGCGCGAATTTTTGTTCAGCGCGCCCGATTCTCATTTTTCCCGGGCGAAAAGCCTCCGTAGCTGCTCCATTCGCTTTGTCGAACCTGTAGCGTCTTTTCCAACTGACGCGGACTTGCTGGCCCACTTTGTAGAGAAGGCAGTTCCAGCAGTAGACAACGACACAGATGACGCAGATCAAAACGCACCGGGGCCAGACGCCCAGGGAGAAGACGGGAGCCCGCGGGAGGTAGCACGGACCCCGGCTGCCCTGGAAAGCGACAAGAGAGACCTACTTCCGATAACCGTCGCCGGGGCTGTCGCAAACATGGTTTCGTGCGGAATATTAGAACCAGTAGCGACGCAGACTGCGAAGAGATCTAGAGCTGCCGCGTCGAGTATTGCCGCCCCTCATCTTCTGGAGCCGCGAAGACTAGGCCCCACACTCCTTGGCCGCGAACTCTACTCCGTCATAGAAGCTCTGGAAAGCGACGCGGCGCCCATCTTCATCACAAATGCGAGTTTCACCACTTTCGTTGAGGACACTGCGCGGAGAGTCGCAACGGGAGCGGCAACGCTAGAAAACGTGCTAAAAGTATCCACTGCAACAATGTCTCTGTCGTGTCCAGCTACTGCTGCTGCGTGTCTCTATTTGCACACTCGTAGCAGGGGCTGACGTAACATGAATATTGCCAAATAAACTCTGACGCTCTCGTCCTAGTATTTGTTTTTCTTCGTGTGTTGCAAGTCCAAGTCGCATCCGTTTGTAAATTATCTACAATCAACCGCAGATAGTGTGACACATGATCGATAGCGTTGCCACCTTCTATCTCGGTTTCTTGGGCCCACCACAGTTTGGTACTTCTAGGACAAGAACCTTAATACCTCTTGCACTGCAAAACGGTGTTGGCCAAACTGCTCTAGTTACCGGGCACGATGGAGGTCTTGTTGTATTGCATAGACGACGGGAAGTGGTAATCCAGAGCTTTTAGACAAGCGGGACGATCTCCCAGCGGATCAGAAGCCGCCGCCCTCCAACCTGGCTTGGTTCATCCGTCACAGATTTGAAGTAGCGGCGGAAAAACTCGCGGCTATTGCGCGAGGAGAAATCAAGCCGGTAGCGCCGGACGGGAGACGAAAGCCTGCGCCATTCGCCGAGAAAGGTGCGCACTCGCCGCGTAGAGAGAGTCGCCATCGCGCCGCGGCAGGCAGGCGCGGCACTCGGACCAGAGAGGACGCTCGCGGATCGAGGTCGAGGTCGCGCTCGCGAATTAGGGCAAGAAGCCAGAGCCGGCCGAAACGAGACCGGGACCGCAGACGGAGTCCCAGCAAGATACGTGGGCGAAGCGTGAAGCGAGATGTTGGTCGTGGGCGCGATCGAAGTCGTTCGAGAAGACCACAGGAGCGCCACCGTAGTAAAGATAAAGAGTCGCGAGCTCGTCGCGTTGACGACCGGCGCGAGCCTGCCAAAGCGAACAGGCCCTCCTCAACCAAACGAGACACCGCAGCACGTGGCAAGAGCACAAGGAAGCGAGTCAGCAAAAGCAGGGCGCGGCCAGCGCGGGATGTTAGAAGTCGAAGCAGAGATCGTCAAGACCATCGCCTCCCACCTGCGGACGAAAAAGCAAGAGCAACCGCGGCCACGACTGTTGAAGCTGATCCTAAAATCGCGCGTCGCGATGAGCGGCCGGAAGTGCTCATCGGAAAAATCGCAGGAGCCATAGCCAAGACGAAGAAGCGGCAACAGTCTGCATCGCGTTTCCGTGGTGCACCACCGCCCCCTCCTCCTCCGCCTCCTCCACTAGCAGAGGAGAGCGCTCCCTCTGCAGCTCCTGTTCTTTCCAGAACAGCGAAAAACCTATCTCCAGCAAAAGACGCCAGCACCCGCGCAACTTCTACGACCCAAGACCGCAGGGCCGGGGTCAACATGCCGTCTTCGTCTGCAAGCGAATCCTCCGCCGAACTGGACCGGCGCAAAAGAGCGAGGAAGAGCGTGTTTGGTCCAAGAATAGATGAGAACAATAAGGATTACGAAGAGGGTGCTGCAGCTGCGGAGCTAGACGCCGGCGATTTTACCTCCACTCTGATGCGGCGATCAGCCGTTCCTGCGCCACCGCCTCTGGAGCTGATAAATACGAAAACAAAGCTGAACAACTACTCGATTTCCAATGACAAAACGGTGGAGCAGCAGAAGAGGAGCGATGCGCTTCCTGATGTTGGCGACCCTACGGCCAAAAGGCGAAACAAAGCGGAAACACAACAAGCATCTTCGTCATCTTCGAGTGGTGGCAAGAACTACCACATCGACAATAGAGCAGTCTACAACAACCCGCGTTTTGGAGCGCCCTCGTCCACGTTTGACATGGTCCAGCAAGTCAACCCATACGGAGCGGCGGCCAGCAGCAGCTCTGTAGCTACACAGTGCAAACTGGCCCTCGGGTGGTCAAGCAAGAAAAAGCTGTGCCTCTTTTCCTTTCATAGAGGGAAGCGCCTCTCTGTATTGGGAGGAAAAAAGAGTTGACTGGTGCATGACAAGGCTGCAGGCTGTCACAGCTAGTAGAAGATAGACAATGGCATATCTAATGAACAATGTGCATGTTACTTGTGATGTGGTTGATAAAAATGTTGTGCTTCTGTTTGATGTTTCACGAGATGACAAGCGGCAGTATGCAAATCACTCGAGGATCGTTTCTCTACCTCTGGATAACTCCCATGATGAACAGTGCTGACCCCATGTCGATGATGATGATGCAGCAGCAATACGGTGGTGGCTATGGCTATGGCGTCCCGGCGGTTCCGATTTCTGCGGCGGAAATGGCTGCTCACCATGCCGCGCAAGCGGCCTTTTGGGAGACACTGACGAAGCTCCAGGGTGGGCAGGAGGCCGAGGGCACGAACTCCTCCGGTGGTGGACAATGCGGCAGGAACAGCAAACGACAAAAGAAATCGTGAAGGCTCTGCTAGAAGTACCTTGCTGCACCAGTCACTCACACTCAACATCGGAGGACATTCTTTTAGGTTGAAAAATCGGACGACGACACTCACTACACTTTTATTTTTAATTTATGAAAATCACTGAATCGTACGACATTTTTTTCTTTTCGTGTTTGAATTTAGATTCAAACGAAAATGTTGAAGAGTCGCAGTGCACAACATTCACAGTCAGGAAATTGTGCGGGTCCGAGGCTTCCAGAGAGAATTGAAAGAGCTACTCGTCGACGTTTTCATTCGACGGAAATGGATTTTTGTTCAAGCTATTGGTGTATAGTGAGAATTCTAAATTCTTCTACTAACTTGATGAAACCCAATATGATAAGGAGAATCTGAAGTTGGTTCGGGGCAGTCGGCCTTGGTTTAACTCGTCTGTCCTCTCGTCGCCATTGTGATTGTACGCAAATCGGCCGAGGTCCTCTCGGATGATTAAGAGAAAGAAAAAAAATATGGGGTCGTCAGCGTTGTATTTGCCTCAAGCTGTAAAAAATTTTCCGCGCGCCTTTTTTTGCATTTGATATCCATCATGCTGCACGCATATAGCCTCCCGCTACATTGCATACCGAATGAACTAGCTAGCTTCTTCGCAGCACTTCTCAGTGGCTAAAGTCGGAGCTATCCGGCGCTGCTGCTCCACGGACTTGCCTCGGAGCGCCCCTGCAGCCTGGAGGTGCTGCAGCAGGTCCGCCTGCAGTCCAGCCGCTAGACAATGGGCCTCAATCTGTGCAGGTCGGTCGGAGCCAAGGGCGCAAATGCAACCGGCCGCGGCTGCGTTTCCACTAGTTTCTAATTTCGCGCAGCAGTGCGCGCGTGTTCCGGCAGGCGCGCGCGCCTTTTGCCTTTGCGGCTCGTTCTTGAAAATGCGAAAAGCCCGAGAGCCTTTCGGAAAGGCTTCCCGGAGGGGTCCCGGGACCCCTTTTGGGGAGGGGTAGCACCATCGTGATTCGAAGAAAAAGCGATAGGCTTTTTTTTAGGGTTCCGGGCACCCCTCCGGCCCTCCCTTTTTGGGAGGCCTCCGGAAAGGCCTTCGCGGCCAACATATGCGTGTGGTACCCGCTAGAGACGACGATGCCAGGGCCTGTGTAGACATCTCGTGGGGCGTCTGCAGCCTCACACCCTAACCCAGGCCATAGCGGCAAATGGCTGCGCGGAGAAAGCAATCCGGAAAATGGAGCAAAATACTGCGCGCGCCCGGCGCTTTCTAAGTGAAAACGCCAGCCACAAAAGAACCCTCTGTGCCCCGCCCTCCTCCGCGTCAATACTCACTTACCCACTAGAGCACTGCTGCTGACAAGCTAGCTAAAACAAACCGCGCTCGAGTTAGCCCCTCACTTGCGGGCACAGGTTTACTAGCTTCGCGCCGCGAAAAAATGCGCGCAGAATTTTTGTTACGGTCTGAGGCAAATACAAGCTTGACGCCCCCATAAAAAATATTGTTCATGACTATCACCGTGAAGATCTTTCTATTAATTAAGTGTTGTTCGTGTATTGTTTCGATTCGTTGAGCTCGAAGCCGAATGTATCATGAACTCGTCGTCGTCGAAGTACCGCGGATCGCAATAATTATGCTTGAGGTTGTCGACGACCTCGCTTTCGTTGTCGTCATCTTCGTGTCGTTTCCATGATATCATGGTGGTGCCGTGGTATTCCTGAGGCACAGCATTTTTTCGTCGAAGTCTCAATAAATTATGAATTTTGCATCGTCTATATCGAAATCGATTTGTGCAAAAGCTGCGTTTGATGTACGTTTGTCACGGCCGCGCCGCTCTTTTCTGATGAATATCAGTAAATGGTAATGGTATCTGCTTTAGGTTCCGTATGCGCGTATTTCTGAAGAAAGAAACGCACCACGTATTCTAGTTCCTGTATGTGTTTCTGCGACGATGCACTGAATCAACATAAACGGATGTCCATCAACATAGGGAGCGCCAAGCCGAAGCACCACGGCGCTTCAGTAGACAAATAAGCTGACGCTGAGGCAGACGCAGATGCATGCTCGGCCGCAATAAAACAAAGGCCTGCTGCAGCGCATTGCCGATGACCTTCTTCTGAACAACAAACACCAGACGTGCAGCACCGAGGACAAAACAATGGCGGAGCCAGCACCCGGAGGCGTGCCCCGTCCCGGGAGTCCACCGAAGACACCGGGCACGCTGGAAACCTTCTTTCGGAAGAAGACCGCGGTGGAGGGAATTCCGAAAACCTTGATGCTCCCGGCGGATGACTTGGAGTTGAACAACTGGAATGAAGATGTTGTCGCTCTCACTGGTGCGGCGGAAAGCGACTTTGTCGCGGGGATTCCGTTGCTCACCCGGTTCAGCGACGCGCCAGTGGACGTCGCGATGAAGCTACGTAGTCGCGACCAGCTGCTTGTCACGATCGAGAAGATTCTGGATCCGGACGCGAAGGACAAAAACGGACGGAACAAACTCGTGAAGCGTGGGATGCTGCGTCGGGCGCAGATGAAGGTCCGCGCCATGACGCGGCTAGGCACCATGGGCAACATCTTTGGCGGCAGCTCCGTGGCGAGTCCCGTACCCGTGGCCCCGAAGCGGGCCCTGACGCTGGGCGGTTCATCGGGGGGCAAGAAGAAGCAGAAAGGAGCGCAGGACCAGCGGAGCAAGGCCCATTCGACCTCCGGCTTGGTGGGCAAGTCGAAGCTCGTGCTGGACGAGACGCATAAGTGGAAAAAGCCCGAGGGTCCGGACGGCGCCGACCGCCCGCTGACGGAGAACATCTGGGACGCCGGGGGCGGCGAGGAAAAGAAAAAGCCCGCCGTGTCTCTGTTGGGCGACGACGGGACGAAGAAGTCCCTGAAAAACCTGTGGAGTTCGAGCAAGAAGCCGGGCTACCTGATGGCCATGACGCGCCAGGCCACGCAGTTCACTGAGGAGGTGAATAAACAGGCCAAGCGGATGCTCGATGTGGATGTGGCGGCGCGGAACAAAGCCTGGCGGGTTGCGTCCCCGCGGTCCGACAACCCCTGCGACGAGTTCGTGACGCAGCCCGTGCGGTCCAGCTTCTGGTCGCAGTACCGCGTGCCCAACCAGGACGCGGACTGGCGCACGCTGGAACAGGCGAGAGCCCAGACGCCCGCCCCGTTTCCCAAAAATTCCCGGCATTGGGAAAGTTTTCCGAACTTCCAGGGGTCGCACTTCGCCTTGACGGACCCGCGATTGCAGAAGATGGACTTGATCCTGCAGTACAACAAAGCGGTGCGGAAAAAATCAGGGCCGGGGTACGAACCCGCGCCGCCCACACACTCGACCCTGGGTGATGTGCGGTTACCGCCCCAGCAGATCTCACCCAGGAAGCGCGCGGCCATGAACGCCGCCGCCGCAGCAGCAGGGGGGAAGCAAGGCCAAGATAACACAAACTCGAACTTGGAAACCATGGAAGCCGTGGTGCATTGTCACCACACCAAGCCCGGATTGAAAGACTCACTAGACCCGGTTGACCGAGTGGTGGTCGCCGGAACCCTGGATTTCCCGGTGAACACGCGACAGGGGATGAAGGAGCAGCTCGCAGGCAAAAGTCTGACCGAGGGCGCTGCGAGTAAAGCCGCAGCCCAGCTGCTGAAAGCAGAACTGGAAAAGAAAAAGAGAGCGGAAGACGGCCTACTTGCAGATCCTGAAGATGCAAATCTTCCAGAAGCGGAAGGCGAAAATGATGCGGATGTTGAAAACGACGATCCGATCTTTCCAACGAAAGCTGCCGACAATCCGCTGCCGTACCGACCTGACACCAGCTGCAGCACGGCGACGGGCGCCGGGGACGGAACATCCGACCCGACCAGCTCGGAGGCGGGCAGCGAGTTCTTCCCCCACTTTAAGAAGTTGAAGACCTCGCGGGGCGTGCACGCGATGCTGAAGCAGGGCAAGGCGAGAACCCGACCGAACGAGAAAGTGAAGTCCTGGGTTCTGGAGCAGGACTGTGGCGCGCTGATGGCACCACCGGGCGAGAGCGCGGCCAACACGTATTTGAACAAGCAAAAGCGGTTTTCGGACTACAAGGTGAAGAGACAAATCGAGCGCGACAACGAAATCATGCTAGCCGCGGGGGATGAAGACGAGGAGGTCAGTATGACGGCTCCGATCGACCATCAGGGAGCGCCCCGAAGTTCGGTTGCCGACCTTGGCGGCCAACAGTCTTCAACGTCGTTTACAGGTACGTCAACTTTATTGTCTTCCTCCACTTCGCAGGCAGGCTCTCCAACAACCGCAGGTCCATCAAAAGTTCTTACGGCAGACACGGTGTCTTCTTTGCCACCGGGATCTCCGAAAAGCTCTCGCGGTGGGCGGTTGAGCCGCAGTGCCAGTCCCGTTCCGGAAATGATCGTACCTGCAAACGATCCTGTAGCACAATTTGCGGCGGTATCGCCGGCGGAGAAGCGGAAGCGCATGATACGTGCCCACAGCTCCCAGGAAATACAAGTGAATCCCGCGGCGCCACCAAATGCAACGGGGTTCGACGCAACAGCTTTCGGTGCAGATCAGACAGGTCTTTCCTCAGGGCAGCCTGCAGCTGCTAGTACTACTACCCACACCGGAGGTCGTACGGCTCCACCGGCAATTGCAATCCCGGGCAGCACGAGGGGATTTCAAGAGGGGGCGTTGACTGCAAGCGTAGCCGCCACGCCAAAAAGTCCAGGCGAGCGCGAACCGAAAAGCGCAACATCGAAAAGCGGAAATAAAGTAGAAAAGGACTGTTCGCCCTCCGGTCGCTCCGCGTCGAAACACCACAAACACCACAGGCATCAGCATCACCACAGATCATCAAGAGAGAAGTCCTACTTGCCAACAAAGTCACGGAACCCCCCAAAGGCGCTGTTGCACGCGCTAGCGGGCGACGTGCTGGAGAGCGTCCACGGACGGCGCGTAGCGCTACTACCCTGCAACCCGGAAACTTGGCGTCCGCCAGACCCGGGCGAGGAACTCGTCAAGAAGGTCGGGACAGAGATCATCAGACGGCTTCCCGGGGGGTTTGTGCACCCGAACAACCGGAACATGCAGCGGTTCCTGCACTCCCGCGGGCACCGCAGCGAGGCCGACATTGACAAGATGATGACCAAGATGCACAAAGACATGGAAGACACGAACACCATGCTCGGTCGGCAGCTGCAGTCCAACCAAGTCGGCGGGGCGGCGTCCGGAATGCGCGCACCGTGGAAGACGAGCGGCAAGAAAGCGTCCTTTGCCCTACAAAAACGCAGATCCGCCGTGGACCTACTGATGGGCGCCTCCAACACAAGTTACGACGACGCCTTCCGCCGCTACCCCGTCACGCCAGAGGACGTCGCGTCGGCCAGCAGCAAGTACCAAACCGACGTGAAAATTTCCGGCATTCGGGACTACCGGATCGACCGCAAAACCAGAATCTCGCACTACCTCTCCGCGGACACCGAGACGCAGCAACAGATCAGTCTGGCTGAAACGAAGCACGTGCTGCACTCGAGCGCGAACTTGCTGCCGTTAATGACACGTGTGGTCGAACAGCAGGAGGCGGCACCGGCGGAGGGCAACTTGGAGGCCATGACGAAGAAGGAAATCGTCCGCACCCGGCCAACGACAACCGCCGCGAGCACGCGAACTCCCGGGTCAGCGCAGAGCTCTTCGCAGCCGCGCCCGCTCACGACCGGAACGACCGGGCCGGCGGTGACGACCCCCGGAACGTCTAATGGTTTGTTCCCGACGATTACTAGACAAGCCGAGACGCCGCAGACCGCGGCAAGCGGCGGCTCGGCGATGGCGTTGCGTCCGGGGACCTCGGCAGCGCACTTTGGCGCGGCCCCGCCGGCGAGTGCGACGAGCAAGGTGAGGCCGTCGACCATGGGAGCGCGGGTTTCCTCACAGATGATGAGCGGCAGCGGCGACGGACTCGGAGGTCATCAACATCTTCAAGGCGGACAACTCGCGGACCAGCACCCCATCGGGCCAAGCGACGACTACGACACGAAACGCGGTAAGTTGCAGTCGCGCGGCTTCGAGAGTCTGTTCGCCAAGGATGACGTACTGTCTGGCACGACCGATCTGACGCAGATCAAGGAGCTTGGTGGCATCGATGTGCAGGCGATCGGGAGGAAGGGCGGCATGGTGCTGCACGTTGCCGCGGACCCGATCGCGAACAAAACGGCGAGCATCAACGAGGTGATGGTACACTTGAAGGAGCGCGGAAGTGCGAAAGCACTGCTGGTACCCGCAGAGCGGGCGATTCCGCAGCGGAACTGGGCCAACGACGCAACGCGGAACAAGGAGAGAATGCACATGAATTTGCAATTACACCACGACGTCGCGAAAGTGGACCCGGCGCGGAGCAAGATTCCAGTGCTGGACGCAGTTACCCGGCGGAAGGAAACGGAAAAGATGGACCGTGCGCGCGGCGCGTACGCGCAGTTTTGCGAAATTTCACAGCTGCTACCGCGGTTGAAGTGTTGCTTCAAGGACATGCTGGGAAATGTCGTCGACTGCCACGACGAGGGTTTGAACGACGAAGACCTGCTCGGGTTGTCGGTACTTTTGACGAAGAGCAGCGTGCAGCTCCTCGACCTGAGTGGGAATGTGCTGCTCACGGACAAGTCCGTCATCTATTTGCTCCAGAAACTGGGCGAAGACGGGTGTCTGGCGCAGCGGACGCTCCGCATTTTGCGCATGCAGCGGTGCCGCGGGATCTCTGACTTCGGGCTGAACGTGCTGACAAACACGCTCAGCTTCCTGGATTACTTGCAGGAGATCGATTTGTCCTCCACACTTTTCGCACCGGACACGCTGATGCGGCTGTGCGACATGCTGGGCGGCAAGGACTTGAAGCAGATCGCCTTATCCGACATGAACATGCCGGTCGCGATGGCCGAACAGATGCTGCTTGCGGTGCTGGGGAAGAACCAAGATCTGCAGAACCTCGACATTTCCTGGAACCCCTTCAACTTTCAAGTCTGGCAGACGCTCCGCGAGTGCGTCGCGAGCCACGGCTCATTGAGGTGCCTGGATGTGTCCGCCTGCGCGGTCGGCGCGGTAGATCCCGACGATAACGAAATCAACATTTTCCTCGAGGGCCTCGGCGACTTCCACCGTTTGAAATACCTCGTCGCCCGGCAAAACATGCTGAACTCGCAGAGCGCGCTGATCATGGAGGCCGCGCTGTACGGGACCAACACCATGGTGAATCTGTTCCTCGGGCAAAACCCCCTCGGCATCCACGGCTGTCGCGCGATGCTTCGGTACCTGGCCACGTCAACTTGCTGTGATTACATCGAAATGTCCTCCATGATGGACGCAGGGGGGTACGATGCCGTGAAACCGCGTGACATCCGCGACCGCGAGGCCGCGGTGGCGAGGATGCGCGAAGAGGAACCACCACAACATCCCTTAGCACTCCCTATTCGGCGGTTTGTGAATCCCAGCACGTCGGTCGCGACGCACGGGGTGCACTACCGGCTGTACACCTTTTTGCAGTCCTCCGCCCAAAGGCAGTACCAGTTGAACTTATCCCTGCCGGGCCAGCGCGCGATTCTTTCCCTGTTGCTCCGGATCCGGGAGCGCCTGCCAAAAAGCAGCTTCGAGGGTTTGTCCGAGGCCTGGCAGTCGGAAAATTTGACGTTCGACGAGAAGCGCAAGAAATGGATCGTGAACGCGGAGTATGCGAGTGTAGAGAAGGCGACGATCCGCTTCAGTTTTCGACTGGGGCTGGAGTACGACAAGATTATGGCCGCGGCGAAGGACAAGAAGGTTGCGCAAGACGTTGGCGTCGTGGGTGCGGCGGATCTTGCCGCCGCCGGGGGAACGAACGCCAAGGACAAGCAGCTCGTAAAGACCCGCGATGAGGACCCGGCGGTCTCGATCTTGAATTCGTTTCAGGAATCTGCGAGGGTACTGTTCACACGGGAGGCGGAGTTGAAGGTGGTTCGCTTGTTCAAAGAGGTGTTGGCTAACATGCCGGATTTGGGCGTCATCATCCAGGCACTGTCCATGGATTTTTTCTATTCGTACCTCATGGTTGCGGCGATGATCTCGTTCGCGCCGCACTTGCGACACAAGATCCTCTACCACTGCTTCGGTTCCCTTTCCGGCGGAAGACGGATGCAGAAAGTGTTATTCTTGATGCAGGCTCCCAGTCCCGGTGATTTGTTGAAGATCGCCTTCTACGCGAAGCGGGCGCTCGGGTTTTGCCCGGAGAACCCGAGCGGCCGGTACTCGCTCGAGCTGAGCGACTTGGCGGATTACGTGGTAGCGCAGCAACTGCTGATCCTGGACCAGTGGGAGCAGACGATTCGACCACGGGTGGGGAAAGTCGTGGTGTCCCAGTTCGGAAACCGCAGCTGCTTCCGGAACGAGCGGATCAACGGGTACCTACAACTTACATCCAAGTGCTTTGAGTTTTCAGAACGGTGTGCGTCACCATAGCGTCGTGAATCATGTTATGTCCGATGGTATGACTCATGTGAAAGAATCAACGCGTGACAACATGCGGAGTAATGTTATTCAGGATCGATGCACTTGTGACGCAGGGAAGATTTCTAGTGTCAATTGTGTCGGTATCCAATTGTAGGTCACATCACCATCGTCGTCCTCGGTCGTGACCGTGATAGCTATGCCACATTATCTGACTGAAACGAAAATTCCGTCAGGTTTTACTTCGAGATGACCTCCTCGTTCCAGCTTCCGCAGCACCACCTCCTGGAATTCGACTACGCGTCGATGATTCGCCCCAAGCGCGGCGTCACTTCTTTGACCGAGGCCGAAGTCGGTGCGATTTTCCGCGCGCTCCTCGCGTCCAATTGTACGCTGCAAGAATTGAAAGAGGTCATCCTTTCCGTGTGCCCCGGGTTTTACATCACGTGCCGACAGGCGAGACGCTTGCTCATGCTGTTCACAGCGGACGACGCCGTTATGATGGACGTCTTGATCACGCTGGTGAACCGCACAGTGGACTGGTATATCAAATGCAAATATGTCTGTGTCTGGAAGAGTGCCAGGCTTGTCATGCAGGTTTTCCATGACCCACGAGGTCTGGTATGTAGGACATAGCATGACAGATTCTGTGAGAGTCCTATCTTCATGCCTCTTCTGCATGAGAAACTGCCTCTCGATTAGGTCAAAAGTAGACAACTTTTGGCAATCATGCAACACAGATTTTCACATGATTCACATTCAGATTGATTCAGCGCGACAAGTTGCATTCTTCCAGACCCAGACATATTTGCAATCCATATGGTACCTGAACGAGAAGATTGTCCGCGCCGCCGTCTTATCCTGTGCAAAAGTATCGTACTCGTACTACTTGCAATCATGCATGACAAATCTTGTTTCGTAGCGAAATCAGCATTACAAATTCCATTTTTCCTTCTGGAAAAATTTGTATTGCGATTTATACTAGTACGATACTTTTGCAATCCATACGTCTACCGTTCCACGTGGCAGGCTGAGATCGTCCCGCGATTGGGCTCCTTCGGGATGCTCCCCTGGGTGCAGCCGGAGAACTACACTTTCCGGCTGGATTTCCGCTACAACGAGGACAGGTTGTGTCTGATCGCGTTGTTCATATGCAATACAAATTTCCCGTACATGTACAAGATGCGTCACAAATTTCCCCAATTTGAAGTGTGAAACTTGTCATGCTAAACTAGGACCGAGGCCAAGTTTTGCCATGCAGAGGACGCATTTGTACGTGTACAGGAAATTTACTGTGGATAGTTCACGTACGAATCCCACGAGGAGGGCGAAAACATCATTGACGTCATATCGAAAGGAAAAACTCCCCCTCCCCATATCGAAAATGCATGTTTCCGAAAATTTGTGTTGCTGATTTGAGGTCACAAATCACATTTGTCTTGGAAGAAGATAAGGGCAAAAGCTTCGTCCCCCGTTATGGAAGCGGTTTCTCATGCTGTTGGGCCTAAAGGGAAGCCGTTTGCCATGCTGAACAACTAGACCGATACGGCCCTGCATAGCCTGGGGATCTGGCCGCAATGCCTCCCTGCAATACAAAGCTGATTGGTGTACACAGATCCAGCATCAGAGATTTCGTTTTGATATGGGGAGGGGGAATTTTTCCTTTCGATACGTCACGTGGGATCAGGACTACGACGGACAGCCGGACGTGTTGACGTACGGCATCCCGCGGTCCTGGGAAACGGACCCGCCGAATCTGGGGGTGATGACCGTGACGTACTGCTGCGCGCCGGAGTTCGCGATCATCAAGGAAAGGTTAAAAATGGCCCGGGATTACGGTTGCTGGAACACAAGAGAAAACGTCGAGGATGATGAGGTGACTTTGATGCACTTTATTGCTGATGCTGAACTACGAAGATGCACACTCATGCATGCAGATGAAGATGACAATGAGAGTGGCTGAAACGTCAACGTGAATAAAATACTACTTACGGTTGCGACCAACTACTTAGTCGCAGTAGCACGCATGTTCTTGAAGATCTAAAATTTGTGTGAAGACAACATGTCGATCATGAAGAAAATACCTCCTCAGGCCGAGATCGAGTGGTGGATCTCCTTGGAAGAAGTGCCCGGCGTCGTTCTGGACATGGGGCAGTACTTCCTGCAGAACTTCGACTCTCTGGCCAGCGCGTTTCGCTTTCTGGACCGCTTCCAGACACAGCAGATCACGCTGCAGAACGTCTTGGAGAAGCTGGCAACGCTGTCGGTTTCGAAAACCTTGATCGAAAAGGTCACGCCGTTCTTCCGGTTTCTGGACCGGGGTGGCGAGGGGACGATCAGTTGGGCGGAGTTCAAACAGCTGAACGACCTCTGGAGCGAGATGTTTTTAGGGCTCGAGGAGTTCTTGTTTTTCCTGCAATTCAAGATCACGGTCGAGATGAAGGCGGAAAAGCGCGGCTTCATCATCCCCGAGGAGTTCTCGTCGAGACCCGGCACCGCCTCCAGCGGCCGCCGCCCGAAATCCCCGAAGTCTGTTGCCGACGGCGCGTCGCTGGGGGACAGCGAAACAGCCGGGTTTCCGCGACACAAAACGAAAAAAGAGTTGATTGAGGAGGCGCAGCGGTCGGCGGACATCGCGGCGCGGGAGCGGCGAAAAAAAGCGGACAACCTGACGAAAAACTTGTTAAAAACGATGATCATCGGGTACCCACCGAAGGTGGAATCCAACACGGATAAGGACAGTAAACACGACGCCGAAGTGCAGGCGACGAACTCCACTGGAAATCTGGCCGCAGCGCAGCTCCCGCCGTTGCTCTACACGGCCTCCAACTTCCTCGACAACGACACGTTCACTTTGGCGTCGTTGCCCGAAGTGTGGGACTGGCTGGACAAGGACGGCGGAGGCAGCTTGTCCATGGAGGAGTTTAACGCAGCGGTCGCGAAATACCACTACCACAGGCAGAACACGCACATGCTCTACGGCTTCATCGACGCGGACGGCGACGAGATCGAACGCGAGGAGTTTCTCTTCGGCTTGAAAAAGATGATGCAGAAGGCGCGGGCGAACGCGGGACTGGCGTCCGGGAAAAACCGCAAGGACCCCACGGTACCCAAGCCGCCACCAGTGCGAAAATCGAAGACGATGCCCGCACTGTCGGGGGCGGCAAAGGAAACCCCCAAATTCGAGACCAGCAGTGACGAGGAAGAGTACTCTGATCACGAGTCTGACCGATCCGAACCGGATGAAGACGCGGCGAAGGAAGGGGCTGATCAGTTTCCCCCACCTCCGGGGGGCCCGGAATTGTCGAAAACAACGAATGCCAATGCGGCCCTTTTGTCGGCGGCCATAAACTCCTCGTAGGTGGCCGGCGCTTGTTGACATTGTAATTGACTGCATGTATACTTAGCTATAGGCGTGGATGAAAAACTCAACTGCGTGTGTGTGTGTGTGTCGCAAGGAAACTTGTAGGAAGACGTAGAGAATGACAAATAAGAAAAGTAGTTTCTGTTTTATCTTCAGACAATTGCATGATTCAACTTCACGTAAAGCTGCTGCGTACTCATTTTCAAAAATTGCATATTCTGATTCTGTTTCTCTTTCTGTTCATAACTCGTTTCATCATTTTGCACCTAGTTCTAGTTTCGTCCTTACCTTTGTACCCCAACTTCCAAGAAAATTATCCGAGCTAAACCTTTGTTCTGAGAGACAGCAATTACTGTCTCGCTCTTCTTTTCGTTCAAACAATGAGTCTACAGGCCATTCTAACTGGTGGCACTTTGCTCTGCGACGAGAAGTAAAAACGTAGGAACTAGAGGCATGGGCATTGCAGCGCCTCACTACTACCTTGTGCTACTTAAACAGACAGTGTAAGTTGTATATTCGTTGTTTGTGCCGGAGGATTAGACCTCAGATTCTGATTGTAATTCTGTCGCACATCAATCGGCTCTATCAATCTGAATTGGTAGCTGCATCCTCGCTTAAAAACAAAAGACCCATGTGCACGCGTGCTACTTGAATATGAAATGTACAAACAAAATCAAGACTAGCTGCTAAAGCGATTTTGCGGAGATGAAATCCAGGAAAAGATGGTTATTGTGACCCAGCAACGATCATGTATGGTTATGATATGAACAAAAAGATGCGCGAGTTACTGTACATTTCGCTCGAAAAATTTTCTATAGTGGAACCTCTGGGCTGCAATGTGAATGCCAATTTGTGCCTTTTTGGCACCCACGAATGAGCGTTGTTCACGTGTTGAAGGTCAGCCACGGATGTTCGCCGCGATACAAAGACGCTCGTCGGAGCACAAATAATTGCATGACGCAAGTTCTTCGAGCTCGAGGAGATCAAAGCGCTACGCCTGCATCAACCAATCAAATCATTCTTGCAGAAGTTTAAAAAAAAAAAACTTTTTCACACGGAACAGAATACGAAGTGCAGCATCAGAAGATCCCGATTGTCGACTTCCTCCTTGTCGCTCGACTTTCCTTGTTCGCTGTCGCCGTGTCGTGATCTTCTTGGTAACAAGGTCAAAGACAGGATGTTGGTCCCGATGAATTTCTTGTCTCTTGTTCGCGTCGTTGTGTCTCTCGCCTGTTTCTCCGTGTCCTGGTACAGCAATCCTACTAGCAATCCCGATTTGCTTTTCGCTGCTGCAAAAGCTGCGCACCTGTACCGAGTCCGCCGTAACTTTGCCCGCAACCTGATCCCGAAGCAGCGGCGTTTGCAGAAATTTCTGGACGACAGGCTCCCGCGCGGCCCACCCGTCGCAGAGAGCGAGACCGGACTCGAGGGCGCAAACCTAAGCAACGCTGACCAACAAGGCAGCGGAAGTGGATCATCCAAAAGTAAGTACTATGCAGGAAACAAGGATCATGCACAAGCAGACTACCGTCCCCTGCTGTTTCTGTCTGGCAGTTGTGGTGTTGCAAGCATGGCAACGAACTACGTGCGATCAAAGGACCGTCAGTCAACAGCATGCTTCTCATCTCGCCCAGTAGCAATACCAGCACCACGTGCCTCGGATCTTACGTATTCCAACAGTTATGTTGCAAATGCGGGAAGAGGGAACAGCGGCAGTTCGCTTCCCATCGCGCCGCCATTTTTGAAAACGCAGGCGCTTTTCCCGACGAAAAATTTTCTGGAGCCGCCGCCAAAAATGTACCAGGACATAGTCGACAAAGCCGAGATGACAAGGGAAAGCAGCCACCTCGTGCTGCCCCTCGAACTTGATCTGGCACCAGAAACAAGCAAAAATGTCGCTATGCCGTCTGCGTCTCCTTTCTTTCCTGATCCTGAAAGCAACAAGGGCGGCGCATCAACAGCTGGTAGTGAGACAAGTCCATCGTTCGCAAACGAGTTGATCTCTCACATGTTCCTTCCCAGAACGGCCCGGTGGTTGCAGCCAGGGGAAGTGGCTTCAGATAAACCTTACCGCTGCTTGCATCCTGGGTTAGTTGCATATCTCCCCGGAAGTCCGAAAAACAAAAAACCAGTGTCCTGCAGTACAACTGCGGTGGGGAAAGTAAGAGAAACTGGCGCACAGGCAGCTTCCGCATCGTCTCCGGGTGCAGAAGCTGTATCCCGCCCTCTTGGGCCGCACCAATTCAATGATAAGTTGGCCCGCCTAATGGATCACTTAATGAACGACGACGAGCTACCTATGGACAAAGTCATCGACCGCGTCATCCGTGCAGAACAAAAGCGGCTGGCTACTGTTGTCAACAGTATGCTGAAAGACGCAAACCGGCTGAGAACTACGGCTGGCGGTCAAACAAATTCAGCTCAAGGGGCGTTGTCCACCTCCGCCTCGGGACCAGCGGAGCAAGCACAAGCAGGGGAGTACGAGTTGAGAGACCGAGCAACGGCCTTCTTCACAGCGAAACGATCTGGTCCTGCAGGCCGTGGTGGCATGTACACACTCGCATCGAAGGAAGAAAAGGAAGCGAACACTGAAATGGGATCGGTATACATCTTCAACGCACCAGTTGTACTCATCATCTTTTTATTTTCGAGCAGAACCAGTACCAGATAGTGCTAGTATGTTCAACATCTGGATAGTGCTAGTATCTTCTGGATAGAGGGGTACTGGGCTTCCAAAGCTGAGTCGCACATGAAAATTTCTTGGAAATGCCATTTTGTGTGAAGAATGAGGAAAATGTGCAGGTGCACTTGGGCGTGGTTGTTCTTCATTTTACTAGACAAATTATCAACATAGTCAACATAGCTCTTTTTCTTCTTCAAGGTCGAATTCGAGAGCCGCTTCGACCCGGTGATCGGATACCAAACCTATGCGCCGACGTCCCCCATCAAAGCTGTGCGGCTAACGCACAATGCCCTGGGGCAGCTCACCAGTATCTGGCAGGAAAGCGACACCGAAATCGCGGCGAGGTTTTTACTGTCCCCCTGGGGGGAGATGCAGACGTTGAAGCACGGTGATTACGTCGTCGTGTCAACGCAGACGAACGCCGCGTTCGCGATGTCGCCGGAAGAGTTCTCCAAAATCTACCGCTTGACGCTGCCCACGACGTCGCAGCGGAAAGGGTCGTTCTGAGCACGAATTGCAGCAGCGAGGTGGACCGATTAAGCTTGACCGACGATCGGGATCGATAACTAGGCCTCATAAAAAATTTTCCGCTCAAGACCGTTTTGAGTTTGCTCTAAAAATGATCTTGGATATCCCTGATGTACAATTTCGTGCCATTATTTTTTCACTCTCCCCCACATGGGCGAACCGGAAGAGTGTAATTTTGTTTTTTCGCGGCACTGCAGCTACGGTTCCCCAACCGTAAGCGTAAGTATCGCAATGTTATGTATCATGGCTGCAGTGCATGATTGATTTGAAATTCAAATTTTCTTCTTTCTGTCTAAAACGCACCAGATGAATTAACAAATGCAGTATATCGTGATCCTGGCTTATTCTGGAAATTCTATGAGTTTTGACTGCCGAATGTCAACCTCCAAGACCAGGTAAAGCAACAATTTGGGTACGACCAAACGAACAATTTTGTCTTTGCATGTACCTTCAAGTGCACTCGCATTGCAGATCTGTGCGTTTCGCTCGACCTCGACCGAAAAATGCAGCTACGACAATGATTACTTCTTTCTACTTGGGTTGATCTTGATAAAAAGGTAAAAGGATTTCGCGCTTCGTGATGCGGGGTGATTGTGGACCACGGGGGAAGCACGGAGCTACGGGCCGACCTGAAGGTTAAGGTCTGAAGATTCATTCTGAAACCGCTTCTCATGTGTTCGTCTTCGTTGTTCTTTTTCTCAGAGGATAGCAATCAACCAGGACGACTGCTTCTATTTTCAAAAAATGAGAGCCTGAGCGTGCTGCACTGCAGTGGCAGGAAAAGGAGTTGGCGTTTCGTTTTTCTTTTGTGGAGGTCATTGTCCAACGAACAGTGGTGCAAGTGTCCAGAAGATGACGCTACAGCAACTACACCGAATGTAAAAATGAACTTGAGCAGATGTAGTCCCCGAAAAAATCCGCAAGACCCAAAAAAAGCGTCTTGGATACACAAAATGGCTGGTTCGGGCCGCATTGCGGGCGTGGTGCAGCTGGAGCTGGGCCTTTTGTACAAAGTATTCGAGGTTGAGTTCTTCGGAGGTACAGATGCAGTGGGTGAAAATCCAAATCAAACAATCGAGGACGCCTCCGAAATCAAGGAAGCGATGGGCCGCATTCTTTCCGCCGACGCCGGTCTAGTGGAAACGTATCAAGCGACGCAAGACCGGTTTGCGCGCGACGTGTTGCGGGTCGTGGTCAGCGCCCTACCAGCGCTGGTCGAAGCGCACAGAAAAAGCGTTCAGACCGTGGCGTTTGTCTTCGGGGAGGCTTTTCCGACGGAGCCGTTTTTGCACGTGTTCAACAGTCTGGTCTTGCTGTTCGAACTCGACCACGTGTATTCCCTGAAAATTAACCACTTCCATCCAATTTGTCATGCTAGGCGTGGAGAAAGTGCCAGGTCGTCGGTGGTCTTTGTCATGCAAAAAGTTGACTGATATGGGGTTGGGGATGGTTACCTTCTTTTCAAGGAATAACGTACAGCCCACGGATCCCGCGGCGCCGGAGCTATTGGGGATTTTGGCCAGTGCGTCCACCGAGACGACGGACTCGATAACGGTCGGGGAGCTGCTGCTTGCCCAAATCGCGGAGAGTTTCGACTATGTGCTCCGCGAGGTGGTGCTTGGCGGCGGCGAAGCGGCCTTCAGCGGGACTGCCGGGAGGCTCACTTGCCAGGCCATGTGGCGCGTGTTGTGCCAGTGTCTGAACTGCAGCGCGCTCTCCGGCTCCATGTTTCTGGAGCTCTGCGGCCACGAACCGAGGTTTCCGGTCGCGGTGGCCCGCCTGCTGCTCAACATGGAGCCCTGCATCGCGCGCAGCGTCGCGGAACTGTGGGTCGCGAAGGAAAATCTGAAGGGCGCAGATGCCGTGGCGAAAAAGCGGCAAACCAGAGTAGCCGAAGAGACGGGCGCGCTGCACGATTTGTACGAATTCAAACGGAGACTGTCGATGGCGTTCGTGGAGGAGGAACTCTTGGACAAAATGTTGCGGGTCTCCGAGGTGCTGTTTCACGAAGCCTACGCCGAAAGCGACGACGAGGAAGCGAACCTCATGGGATACCAGTCTTTTGGGGAAGTAATGTCTTCACCAACGCCGAACGCGAAGGCGCAGGCGAATGCTAACACTTACCAAAGCGAGAAACTTCGCCTTCGTAGTGAGGAATTTCGAGTGGTGTTTTCGTGTTTGTGCCGCTGTGCGAGGGAGATGTGTGACATGCTGACCGACCCGAGGTATGTCCTGTGGGCAACCGCGAAGCACAAAACTTTCTTCAAGCGGCTGAAGAGACACTTGCGGTTGTACGGGAAGCACGTAGTGGATTTTGTGCACGAGAAGCTGTTTTTCAGCGGAAAAGTGGTTTCGCCCTGGGACAAGCTGTTTCCGGAAATGCTAGACGCGCTGCTAGCCCTGAAGCTGCTCGACCCCCGGATCGTGATGGAAGGCAGCCTGCTTCCCGAAGATTTGCTCGTGCAGGATCGCGGCCCGCTGCACTCCAACACCCCCCGCTACTGGTCGTTCCATCACTTCGCTGGGGAAGTGCAGCCAGCGGCACACGCACGACTCGTGCTGCTCACCATTCCGCTGGAAGACGACACCGGAGCGAACGCCACGGAGGAACAGCAGGCGATGCACCAGCAATATCTGTACGAAACCTTCTTTGCGCCTGTCGCCAACTGCTCCGCGAATCCCCATGCGTTTTGGCGGGTGGTCATCCCCTGGCTAAGTCGGTTCTACGTGTACAGAAAAAAACAGGACGTCGCAGAGTACTGGTCAGAACAGCACGCCGCAACAGCGCAGTTTGACGAGTTCCTGTTCGACGCAGCTGATAGTGACCAGCACGCTGGCGGCGCACCAGCAGCCGCACGCGCGGAACAGCTGGCGGGCGATGCCTATGACGTCCACACTCGCCAAACGGACGACGAACCGGTAAGCAGTCCTCAGAGAATGGTTCACAGCTCCGAGGACTTTCCGCCTCCGGGACTTGAATTTTACGAGACGCAACAGAGGTACCGCGACGACCCAGCTCTTCTCTTGGAGGCTTCAACGGCAGTCGTCGCGATTGATGAGCAGACGCATGTGGGGGCCGTGCTCTCCTCAATAGCAAACGACACAGCAGGGGCGGGGAAGTCAGATGTCTCAGCCCCAGATGAAAATAAACAGCCAAACCTTCTTCAAAACGTTGGAAACTCGTCGCTCAGCATGATGGACCCGGACGCCATTCCGCCTCATTGGCGCTGTCACATTGATGGGCGAATTATGACAAACCCTGTCCGGTTTCTGTCTCCAAGCACTGGTGAACTGTTTTTCTACGAACTTGCCACGCTGCAAGCGTGGGCTGCGGCCAGTGGCGACGTCTGCCCAATCACGGGTGAGGCTTTTACCGGCGACAGCCTGCAGCGCGATGGTGCGTTGGAGGAAGAGATTCGTGCTGGCCTAGCGGGTCATAGCGTCCAGAATCCTGGTTAGTGGAAGATGTACGAGGACCTTAACATGATATGTTTTGATGAGTGTCTACGTCGCATACAAGTGCAAGACAACTAAACATAGACGCATCACATAATGAATAGAATCAGTATCAGAACTCCCACGAGAGCAACACATATCGTCACGGTTCTTCCTATCCGCGTTGCGAAACTGACTCCAGGCACATTGCAGCCCTTGTTTACATCTACAATCGTCCTTGAGACAACGAACTGACTCTGACCCATGGAGACAAGGGTGAACATCGGTTCGTGAAAAAACACTCTAGTTTCGGTAACTTTATGGTCGATATGATCTTCTCCTGTGCAACTTTCGGTATCATCTGTACCAAAATATGTTGTCGCTGTCGGTGCTGACGAAAGCCAAAGTCGCGCAATCGGTAGTACAACACTTGGCTTAAATGATGAGTCGGTTTCTCGTGATGGTGCCCTCGCTTTTCGTTGCGAGTGCGTAGTATCATGCCCCGCCTCATGGGTGTGCACGTGGATCGTTTGTCGGTCAATGCACGAGGAGCACGCGCAGGTTGTTTTGCTTTTGCATCTAGTTTTCAAAAAAAATAATATCTTAGCGTCACGACTACATTTCCATATTGCGCATGCAGATCTTGGGTATTTTTATTCCTTTTCCCTTTAACGTTATCCTCAACATAAAGGCCCTTCCTATGGGCGCATGATCATGAACATGATTTCCAAAAACAAAACCTGAAGATCGAACATACTTTATCAAAATAATCATTGTTACACTGAAAATCACTAGATTGTGTTGTTTGCGAAAGTTAAAGCACCACCTAAATCAACGAATCCATGAAGCAGCCAATGGCCCCCGCCGCCACCTCCTCGCGCGGAGGCGGTGGTGGGTCCTCGCAGCAGCCCCGCCCTGGACAACAACATCCTCCGCACCATGGTGCTCCGTATCGCGTCGAGCGATACCACTGGAGCGCTTTGTCCGTCGCCGAGTTTCGTCGTAAAATCCAGACTTTCAGAAACCCCATTGTGATTGAGGGCATGGGACCTCAGGTGCTGAACTACGAGGGCATCGGAAATTACATGGAAAACGCACTGAGCATCGACTTTTTGCGCAAGCAGGTCCGTGGCAATCTGGTCTTGACGATCCGAAACGCCGACGACACTGAAAAGGATGCGACATTCTCCGAGTTCCTTGCTGAATTCGACGCTTGCGAAGCGGAAAGACAAGCCAAGGCCAAGGTAGTTGTAGCTGAAAACAGCGGCAGCTCAGGCTCCTCCTCTGTTCCTCCTCCTTCGACCGCGACTTCCAAAGGCGGGGTGTACCTGAAGGATTCGGCCATTGCGACCCAGTTTCCCTGGATGTTCCAGAAGCACGTCCGGGTGCCGGCGTACTTTCTTCACTGCTTCAAGCACCGCACGCGGAATAAAACCCTGCACGGCAGCGCGTACGTGCATCCCTCGCTGTTCCTCGGCAACACCGGCACGAAAACGGCGCTGCACGTCGACCCCTGGCCGACAAACTTCTGGTGTTACCTGGTGGAGGGCGAGAAGAAGTGGACCTTGTTTCACCCGGACGACGCGCACCTCCTGCATCCGACGCCGACACACGAGGAGCCGCCGTTCGCCTTTCCCAGTGTGGAAAAATTGGAGGAGCTGGAAAAATCCCATCCGCCCTCGCGCCCGCGTCCCCGGCGCCTGGACTTTGTTCTCAAGGCCGGCGAAGTTTTGTTCAATCCGGCCCAGACCCCACACGAGGTGGTGAACTTGAGTCGCACTTTGATGGTCTGCGGGTTGTTCATTGACCACTCCAATCTGCAGCTTTGCCTGACGCACACCCGGCGGATCCTGCGCAAGATGGAGCGGGCACTCGTGGAAAAAATCAAACAGGAGGATACAGAAGGCAAGAAGGAGGCCACTGCGCCACCAAGCATGCCGCAAGAAGCTGCCAGCGGGTCCTCCTCCTCGGGCGGAAAAAAGCAATCGCCTCAGCAAGACGGTGACAGTCGCGGTACCCCCAGCGAGATCGTGCTTCAAGGACCCGCTTCTTATCCAGAACGAAAATTTTCCACCGCCATGTCAGATAGTGGGGAGCAACATGCCGGGCACAAGCTTGGATCGCAAGAAGTGCGACTCAGCTCCTACGCTGCCTCGAGTGAAGCTGCGGACGACTTGAACATGTTTGACGGTTGGACATTGCACTCTGCGCACGCACGCGGAACGACCACGAGTAGAACGGTGACGACGTCAAAACTTGCCGCGGCCGCCCGTACAAACTCAAACTTGAGTACACTTGCGTCTACAGCGAGTTCCACCACGGCGACTACAAGGGCAACGGTGCCGCCGAGAAGCAGGCCGCGAACGAATTCCGAGGACAGCACAGTAGCATCTGCTTCTTCAACATCCAACGGTACCGGCAAGAAACAAGGTAAACAAGCTGCAACTCAAGCAAAAGTAGCAAATTTGAAGAGCGGGGGAAGTGAAGCAGCCGGATCGTTGAAGAAGCTGGTCCAAGATTGCGAGAACGGCATGGATGTTCTCTACTACGCCTTGTACGACGTCACTCCATACACCAAATCCGGGCATCGCAATCACGAAATCGCCCAAGATTTGATCGTTGAGGAGGACGACGCGGATCTTCTTGAGAACGACGGCACGCCGCTCCCACGCGTCCTGATTGTGAACGAAGACGGCGTGGAGCGTCTGGAGGTCGATACTTCTTCTACCGAAAGAACGAACGAAAGCAACTTGTTGCCCCGGACGAACTCCAAAATTCCTCCCCTGCAGGCGAAGAATGTGATGTTCGACGCGAACGCGCCCCAGGTTGCGACGCTGCAGCGGCCGACGAGGGCCACGATCCCAAACCCCGAGGAGTTCTTTCAAACGCCGATGAATTCCTTTTACCAGCAGCAGCAGGGTCGGGAATCGGCCGTGTTTGCCGGGGCGGATGGAGTCACGTACATGGAGAGCTACCCGTCGGCTGCGCTCTCGGACACGGCGGCGCTGGACCCGGACCGCAACCTGTGGCTGCGGTCGGATCTGAAGTCGCGCATGATGGCCGACAGCAAGCTCACGGCCTATATGGAAGTCATGATGAGCGGGGACCAAGCAGCTCGCGCTGGCGCTTCCTCTGGTGCAGGAGCGCCGCAGGGAAACCACCAGGCAGTGGCGGACCGCCTAGCGGCAGGTCGTTGGATGCGCGGCGAGCGGTCAAACGCCGCTGTGTCGACCACTGCGACGACCGACGGAGGCGGAAGCAGTTCCCCTTCATCGACGTCCGGCGGAGGTGCTAGGAGTGGCCGGGCAATTGATGTGTTCCGGACCGACGCGACGGCCTCCAGTGAAGGCAGCAGTACTGATGGAGGAAGAACTGCAGGAGGCGGAGGTAGCTTTACAAGAAATCCTTCCGCACCACAAGCGAAACCGACAACTACAGTCGGCGCTTTTACTGCGTCGCCCTACGCAGCGTTGCTGACGCGAAGTCAACTCGAGTTTCGCATCTACCGGAGGAGCTGCATTTTGCAAGCGTTGGAAGAAATCGACTTTCCGGAATTGGAAGACGATTTGCACTTTTTCCGTCCGGAGACGCCAGGCTCGATGGTGGGGCTTTTCCCTTTGCATGAAGGATTGCAGTATGACGAGCGTACGCGCCAGAGCGAGTTTTGCACGGCCGGCCTCGCTAGCGCTCCGGTTTCCACGCACAAAGTGCAAATCAGTGTTGTGCGGCAGGCGTCTGGTGCGGACGGAGGTAGTGGTCGCTCCAGTGGGGGCAGCACGTTTTACTTCCCAGCTTCAGACGAGGTCTCCCTGGTGAGCGCCACGAACGCCAGTGGCAACGATGTTTATCCTACTTCGCCGATTGGTGCTTCTTCTGCCGGAGTGCCTGCACTGGAACGGGCAACTTCAAATCCCTTGAGTCGCCAGAACTCTCTCACGATCGAGAAGCAGAACTCAGATACCCGCTATTTCGTTCAAGGGAAGTGGGACCCAACAGTCGGCGAGTTTCGGCCGTTGCCTCGCAGTCCTCCACCCGGGAGTCCGAAGGGAAACGTGCACTTTTTTCGAAATGGCCACAAGGAGCGCGAGGTTGATCTTGAAACGAAGCCAGATCCCGTAATACACGTTCGGTATTTTGTAAACGGCAAGGCGGTCGACTTTGTGCCGCAGAGCTTTGCTAACGCACCCGTTAGCCGACTGGAGTCTAAGCATTGAAACTGAAGACCCTGTAGGACAGATAGGTATGGCGAAGATCGCGATCGTTTTCATGATGGAAGAATAGCTTTTGCTTTATGCCTTCTCTGCACGGAGGACACAGCATCAGACGAGTTACAGATGTTGCGAGATTTCGCTTTAGCTATGTTTGACGATAGTTTTGTCCTTACTTCTTTTTACAACTTCTACAAACTACATTTTTGGTTTTGCCGCCTTCTTGACGAAGGTGCGTCGCGCGCACCCATGTGGATCAACGCGTCGTGATACGTGACGCTGCGGAATAAACAAAAAGCTACTTCTTCCTCACCGGCAGGTGTTTTTTTTTTCTTTTCAATGTTGTTGAATGATGACGACACAAGACTGTCACATTTGCGGTTGCGATGCAGCTGACCATGTATTGCATGATTACGATTAGCTAGGTAGTAAGCCTGCTGTTCTGGTGCTGGATAATCTCTTGCTGAAGGTATTCATTGGCAAGGGCGATCGCGATGCAGACGAACGAACTGTCCGGCGGAAGTGTTGACAAAAAGTGAACGCGACGTAATGTCACCAGCGTTTTTCCGTCAATTCAAAACAATGAAAAATCGCGAATCGGTCTATACACCCTGGCCCTTCAACGACGTCCATGGCAAAATCAAACCTTGACTTTCGTAATGGTGCTGACGGTCGAGCCGAACATACTAATACTTCTGACAATAAAAGAACGATCGGCAATATTCGGTTTCGTTCAACCGACGCAAGCATAACTCGCTGTCGGTAGTCGTGCATACCAAAGGTAAAATGAGCCAACAATCTAGATGCACAAACTCCAAGCTACATTATCGGTTTTCTATAACTCCTATTCCTGTATTCGTGCTCCTCGGTAACCAATCGTAGATCTGTGGCTCGGTTATGCCCAGTGACACCTTCGTGCTCGTGCATCATCTTCTTTAACGGTCGCGTCTAATACCCAAAAACAATCGCACTACAACACGATTCCGGTAATATCGTGCAATTTGTATACGAGTTACCAGCAGGTAACAATGCGATAGTATTATGACCAACAACATCGCCAGCACTTGCCGATTCTGATATACTCGTAAACAACATACGCATGCTGCTTATTTCGATTTGGATTTTCATGCACAACAGGTTTGGGTTGCCTTCACCCCGCCCCCCTGCATTTTTCACAAATTCCCACTATTTTGACCACGAAGAACAAGATACAGGTGATACAATCTATTGCAGTATGAAGATGACAATGTGAGGATTGATGTCGCGTCAAGTATCGCTGTTGCAGCTAGTTGTAGCTGTAGAACTGCAGAAATTTTTCAATGACGGTAAAACAGTTACTAGGCGGCACAACCACAAGAGCAGAAGTCGTGATGGATATTCGTGATTCGGGTCTCGTCCTCGGCCGGGTCCGATATCGTTGCGGCGTGCGCGCACGGGTGTAAAGCTTGTATTCGCAGTAATATCATTCGCAACCTTTTCTAGTAGACTTGTGTAAGTCAGACAGTAGTTAAAAGACTCAGAAGCTCGAGCTCGTCCCGCCCTCCGCCCTTGGCTACTTGTCTGACCAGCAGGGACTTGCACTACACTTCGCAACTCTCCGTGTGCTGCAGACATGCCCCCTTCTACTTCACTGCCTGAAGCTACACCCCATCCAAGTACGGCACCGAGGATGATCCTTTCCTTTTCCTCCAGAGCGTGGTCAAGAAACCCGCTCATGATCTTCATCGCGACCACTCTATTTCCGCTCTCGCTGGTTTCAGCGCAGGACCAGGTCGCGCGGCTGACGTTCGCGTGTCCCTACTCGTGGGAGAGTTGTTGCGACACGTGGGCAGGTATTGCCGTGATCGCGGCCCGGCACGTGAACGCGCGGAATGACAGCATCGTGCCGGAGATTGCGACGTTGAAGAACGTGACCGTCGACCTGTCCACGCAAGACCGCAACGCGTATGCTAGCGGGTATGCCCTGGTAAAGGCGTCGCAGGAAGCGACCAGTCCGCCTCACGGATACATCGCGTACTACTACAGCTCGGACACGATCAGCTCGCACAAGTACTTTGCGGAGAAGAACCTGGACACGCCCTTGGTCGGGTGGGGGGCCGCCAGCCCCGTGTTTTTGAAATTCCCCACTTACTACCAAAACTTCTACAGCGTGTACCCCAACGACGCCCTGGTGGCGCAGCAGATGGCCCGGGTGTTCGTGAACGAGTTCGGCTGGAAGTTCTTCGCCTGCATCCATGAGCCCGACTCCTGGTCCACCGGGTTTATCGACGTGTTCCAGGAGACCTACAACAGCCTGGTGCCCGCATCCGCCAACAGCACCGCGGGCAGTCTGACCCGGTACCAGGTTACCCCCGGGTTGCAGCACGAGTACGATACCACGGTCCGGGCAATGGAGGCCGGGGTCGCACGCGTGGCGGTGTACATCAACCTGTCGCCCAGCAGCATGGCCCGCATGCTCGCCACCGCCGCGGCGAGGGGCATGGCGGGGAAGTCCGCCGTGCAGCCCTGGTCCTGGGCGGGCGTGTCCCTCGGCGCGGCGGGCGCCAGCTTCGAGCCGAACTACTACGGTTTGGTGTCGGTGATGCCAAAGGACAAGGTGCAAACCAAGCTCACCTACCTCCGCGATATCTGGTTTTCCGAAATGGGAACGGGACCACTGCCCACCGCGAGCGCGCTCGGCCTGACCACCGGCGGGGGCGCCACCGACATGGAAGTCGCGAATCGCCGCGTGTTGTCCGCAAGCTGCGAAGCCTACGGCGTCTATGTGTACGACGCCGTTGTGGCGGCGGCGCTGGGCTTTGAGAAGTACGCGAACGGCACGTTCCCGACGTTTGCGTCGGCGCTGGCGGATGGCGTCGAGATGAATGGGATGACGGGCACGCTGAAGCAGCAGAAGGGGGATAACATTCGGAACTGGGGCATCCGTTCCTCGGGGCTGACGTACGCACTGTTGAACATTCAGGACCAGATGCAGGAGATCACGCGGTTCCAGCAGGCCAGCCAGGTGACGTCCGCACACGTCGCGCAGCTCCGCAGCCCGGGACAGAAGACCACCCTGCCGCTGGCGTACGAGGCCGGGCCCTGCTTCTTCGACCAGATTGAGTGCAACTTCGGGAAGTGCATGGACGTGCCGAAGCTCGGCTTCGAGGAGGGCTACTGCGCGTGCAACCCCGGGTTCCTGGGGCAGAAGTGCAACGTGAAGGAAACCCGCGCGATGACCTTCGGCCCGAGCTCGTCCGGACAAATATCCGCGCTCGCGAACGTGTTCTGGTACAAGTTTGACAAGTTCGACGAGACGCAGTTCACGGCCTACTTCACCGTGACCCAGATGTACAAGGACGACCGCGTGCGAGTGACTAACGGTGTGTACCACGACGCAGTGCTGGACCAATTGGAGGCCGACCTGCTCATCTGGCTTCCCAAAGTCACCGTGGAGGACTGCGCCAAGCTCGAGGCCGTCGGGAAGCGCCTGGCGGAGGTGCGGTACCCGATCGTGTACTACGAGTACCAGGTGCGCGCCGTGGACTGCCCCGTCACCCCCTTCTGGGACTACTACCCCTACGACCGACAGGCGCTGTCCGCGAAGTTTGAAAACGCGAACACCGATTTGTTTTGGGAGTACGACTTCGAGGTGTGGCGCAGCGGGAGCCACCTGGTGCCCCCGTGGCGCGGGTACCAGCCCGCGCTCGCGACGGACGCGGAGCGCGCCGCGGCGCTGCTGTTCGAGCAACGCTACGCGCCCGGGGAGAAGCACCCGGGGATTCCGAACAACGAGGTCTACTCCATGAACTGGAACCCGACGTGGCCGATCCACTCCGCGTACGTCCGACGGGACCACCAGAGTGTGAACCTCGTCACGGAGGTGGAGCGCGACGCGAGTCTGTGGATGTACCGGGTGGCCCTGCCCGCCACGCTGCTGGGTACCTTTGCGTTTTCCACCTTCACCGTCGGGCCGCACAACTTGATGCCCCGGTTCATGAGTGGCTTTCTCGCCTACATCGCACTGCAGAATTTCCGTGCCAACGCGGTGGAAGAGGCGCCGACCACGATGACGGAAATTTCCTACTTCGAGGCCTTGCTTCTCTACCTAACCGTGATGAACGCGTCCTGCGTGATTGCGGTGATGGTCGGCGAACTGCTGATGCAGAAGTACGGCCCGCTGGTGGTGTATGGAAGCGTCAGGATTGAAATCGTCAAAGTCGAAGAATTTGTGATGCACAAAATCGATACCAGTCGGAGCCTCAGTTTCCGAGTGGCGCATGACAAATTTCGGGAGCACCCAAGGCCAGTCTGTCATGCTGTTTAGGCAAAGAAGACTGCTCCTGTCATGCTACTCTGACAGCGCAGGGCGTACCCCTAAACAGGCTTGCAATCGGTTTCATTTGCCTGCTCCCCAATACAGGCCTTCAGTGCCCTACATTTTATGCATCGCAAATCTTTCGATTTTGTCGCTTTTGATTCTGACACATCCATATGGTGAACGACCTGGACCGCGTCAGCCGCCGCACCGTGCCGCAGTGCTATTTCATCGCCGTGGTGTCCGCCCAGCTCTGCGCGGGGGAGGACAACTGGCTGGGCGTGGGGGTGTACGGGTTTCTCGGCTTGCAGATGGCGCTCGCCGCCCTCCCGCCCCTCATCTGGATGTTGTGGTGCTACGTGCTGGTGGCGAACTCCGACCACTTCTTCCTCTACAACAGCCTCCACGTGGCGGTCAGCGACCCCGCGGCGCCCTGCGAGCTGCGGGACCACGAGCTGACGCTTTTGTACAAGTGGATCGCGCGCAAGTACGGCTACGCCTCCGAGGCGGACCGGCGGGAGCGGCTCGAGCAAACGTCGGCCGAGCGGCACACGGCCCACAAGGTGGAGTCCAACCAGCACGAAGAGGACGACGAGGCGAATGAGCAACTGCTGCTGATTGAGGACGTCGCCAAGTACGTAGTAGAGACCATCAAGGGCGACCTGGACCTGGAGCGGTGCATCTTCTACACGAAGGTGATCTTTGACGTGTGCGACGAATCCGGCGACGGCATGCTGAACGTGAAGGAGTGGAAGGACAACTTTCCCAAGTGCGTGGAGGCCACGGCCCGGGGCGGCGGCGCGCTCGCGAAGCGGAGCCGCTGGTTTCTCGCGGCGCTCTACTTCAAGAGGACGTTCCGCGGCTACAAAGCCCCCCAGTACATAAACAAATCCAAGTCGGACAAGGAAGGCATGAACGCGAACAACTACAGCAGTTTGGACCTCGAGCTCATGCTGTCCGACGCGAACCGCAAGAACGCCTTCGAGCACGTGCTGCCCGGGGGCAAGGCGCTGCAGCACCGCAAGTCGGCGGCCGTCTTCGTCGCCATGCATAAGGACGACGGCGCAGAGGTGGACATTCTCCAGCTGTGTCGCGACCAACTTCTGGATCGGCACGGGAAGCGCCTCAGCCGCCACGACGTCCCGCTTCCTAGTCCAGAAGCTTTGAAGAACATAAAGCCGGACGATGAAGAAGATGTGCAAGAGCAGGCGCAAGAACGAGGTGGCGGAGAACGAGCTGAAGCTGATAGAGCAGAGGGAATAAACGCGACTGCAACTACTTCTATGAGTCCGGATAGCGTAGTTGTAGACGTATCGCAGGACGATCTTGCAGCAGTTGCAAAAACAGCACAGCGGCCTCCTCGACCGGACCCCGAGGACGAAGATGAGGTTGTAATATCAACACAGCAAGCCGAAGTCGATCAGCAAGCTGTAGTGGGGGACACATCTTCAGGCCTAAAGAACCGCAACGGAAATCTTCTGGCGCAGAAGGTGGAAGGCGAGGGAGCACCATCAGTACCTCTTCTACTCGACGACGATGATGGAGGAGCGAGTAACAGAAGTTTTGCTGCAGCCAGCGGAGCCGCATCGCCGAGATTTGAGGTGTCGGATGCAGAGGAAGTGAAAAGCGTCGGCTTCGGTGGATAGTGCAGCTGGTACTGCGAAATGTTAAAGTCACGCGTTCCTTAGGCTTAGCACCAGTAGATTCATCAGGAGCATGCTGCTATTTGTCGCCCAGCATCTTTGAAAGCTAAAGCATTTCTTTTGTGCCAGCGACTATTTGTGTTTCTCTTTCTATCCGCGCATTGCTTGTCTCGCGCCTGGTTGCTTTCGGTTGTGTCGTCCTGCTACGCCGAAGACGATTTGCTACATCAATTGCGATAGTGCCTGAAGCAGTTGATGCGACGCCCCCGACGTAAGACGAACAACACTACTCCCTCTGATATGCATTTTAAGATTTTTCTTGAGATTTGCCTTATCTTCGATTTCGAAGCACCGACGTAACAAGAAACGAAATACGTAGAAGTGACGCAAGCGCTAGTTCCAATCAGGAGCCGCTTGGCTCTGGCTTGTGAAAATTGTGTTTGTGTTCGACGTCTTTGTACTCGTCCTTCGCAGAAAAGCGAGGCCACGTCCTCCTCGTTGTATCGTATTGATGTTGATTGTAGTCAATGCAGAGTGGTGAAAGTGAAAGTTATTCATATTTGCTGACAGCGGCAATCGAGATGAGACAAAGACGAGTTAGCGGAGAGGCCTCGAGATAGAGCGGAGACACCTGCAGCTGCTGTTAGTTTTGTATGGTTGAATATTTTGTCATCTTTCGTACAATTCATTCACAAGAGCCTGCTAGCTACTGCTTAGATTTTTGGAGTGCGTCGGGATACGTAAGTGTAGTTTCTATCGGCGATGTTGACGTCTGATGTGCGACTGCGTGGTAGGTGAAGCGAGGCAGAAGTCATTATATTCGGGAAGGAATATTAACAGGAGCGAGGTGGTCGTGGTGGATGTTGATCAAAAAAAAAAAGAAAGTGAACAAACTTACCAATACCATAGGCTAAGAGAACCTGAAACAATAGATGAAACTACAGTGCTCATTTTCATTCTTCCTTCCTGAAGAATCAGTATCAATCGGTCTGTCGGACCAATAAATTCGAAACGTTCATCATAACAATGGGTCATCGTGTTGCTGCTTTTTTGGAAGAGCTCCTGTCGCCGTGGCCTCCGAGTAGTAGACGAACTACCACTACTACCGGGACAGAAAGCAGCAACACAGCTTCGTTTGAGTCGTTCTCTGCACCCGGGATGAGGAGGCCCTCGATACCCCGAATGGATTTGAAACATGCAGCGAGCGAACGCGGCACCTCCTTAGCCTACAACCCTGCGAAGCATAGTACTCCGCTCCTCATGTCAGGTGGCCCTTTCGCTAAAGGAACAGCTCGAGGAGCAACGGCGTTCGCGTCATCCGATGACGGCTTGGCGGCAGCAAATTCAAATAGTGGCACCGAAGCCGCGGAGGAGGGAGTATATCAATGCGTCAGGTCGTGGGAAATCGTCAACAGGATGAACTGCAGCTACTGTAATTGATTTGCGTTCTTGTCCTCGATTCCACCTGTAAGTCATGAAACAAAAACACATGAGCTTGCTGCATCTGCACTCTTCGTACAGCGCTTGCGCCCACGACTTCCGAGGTTTGACAATTGCATGGAGTGACTCTGCTTTTGACATGTTGTTGTCTCCGGCAAACCACAGCGCGTCTGTGTGGCTCTGTCTTCCAGAGACCACATTTGCCTCGTTCATGACTCTATAATCGATTCGAATCCGTACTAGCACCGCTATACAAAAACTTAAACTAGCTTCAAGCAGTGCTTCCTTTGCAGCTGCTTCAACTTTCACCGCATTATTTCATGTCATGTTGCGAGGAATCTTCATCCGTCGGCCATCATCTTCTTCATGATTTCCCACTGTGCAGCACTTCCATACCACGGATCTCGAGAAGAACGTTCAGAAATCCGAGGAGCCAGAATTAACGCTGGAGGAGAAGAATAGAGGAGTCTACAACTTCGGCAACGCCGACCAGGAGCACCCTGCCCCCAACCACGAGTACATCTCCGCCGAAAAAGACGAGGACACGTTCGCCGATTCCGCGGCCCGCTCGGGAGGCTACGACTTCCCCAATCCGCTAGGGAACGCCGCGGTGATTTCACGGGCAGCGAAAATGCAGGACTTGAGCGCCGAACAAAGCGCGCAACTGGCCAAGCAAGCGGAAGGCTTCGAGGCTTCGCTGAACGGTGGAACGGGGGCCGTGGAGGAGGTCCCAGAAGGCGCCCTGCCAAAGCCGAAGCCACCGCTCACGGAGTACTACAATCAGATGCCCAAGTATGGATGTGTCAGAGTTGAAATCGACAAAGTTGAAATAATTTGTCATGCATATTAAAATGGATGCCAGTTGGAAGCCAGTTTGTAAGTGGCGCATGACAAATTTCGGTGGCCCCTAAATCCAGTTTGTCATGCTGTTTAGGCAAAGAAGAGCGATTTTCTCATGCTTTTAGCAGCTCGAGCTGTAGCCCCAAACAGGCTTACAATCGGCCTCACTTGCCTGCTCTGCAACACACGTACGTCGGGTTATGCACTCATTCCTAGATGCATATGCACACCGAATTAACCCCAGACTGAGGCAAGACGCTACGTGAGGGCGCCCGTGTACGACCAGGAAGTCGGGCAATATGCACCTAAACCAGTAGCGTCGGGACAGAAGCAGCGGCCACGGGACAAGCAAGAGAAGCGGAAAAATCGACTGATTCCGTTAGCGTCGTGCACCGTTTTCAGGACCTTCATCCTGCACAGCGCCCAGACCTTGTTCTGCGCGGCGCCAATCAAGACTTTCATCGGGACAGGCGGACTACTAGGTCGCGGAGTCCGCACTCTCCCAGCTCAGGTCGGTTCTGTGGACGCAGCTGCTCGTCGTTCTCGATGGGCCAGCAACCTTGGTTCCTCATCAACAGCATTTGCGTTGCGGGTGCACGAGTGTTCCCGCGTGGTCGCCAACACGCGGCTTCCCAGTTCCAGCCGGAGCCTCTACAGCGTTCTCTTCTCGGACCTTCCTGTGTGCCCCCTTAGTATTTCTTCTGGGACCTTCTCGGACCTCCTTCCCAGTGCTGTAGTCTTCCGCCCCGGGGCTGTTATTCCCGTTGCAGGATGTACTACCCTGGTCCGTGGTTGCTACACCGGCAGGCGTTAGGTGAGTAGATGGACTTCGCCCCGGCCGTCGCGTAGGTTCTCCTACGTGGGATTCCTGTTGATGCCTCCTTGGTTTGGGGTTGTCCTCGATGGTGGTGCTGGTGGATTTGGTGCGAAGGCTTGCAGCCCCTCGTTCTCCTCTTCCCCGCCAGTTCTGAGTGCATTGTCGCTTGGATCTGTTTCTGCTGTCCCCCTCTCCTTGGTTGCTGTCGATGGGTTTCTGGCGGTTTGTGTGGCGTCGGAAATTTTGCCGCCACCACTGTCTGGTCCCCGTCTGCTCTGTGGCAAGGCAGGTCGGGTTACCTGGTCGGGTTGGTTGTCTGGTCGTGTCGCTCTATGCCCCTGCCCCTTGATGCCTGCCACTGGGCGGATTGGGAGCGTTTTCACGGCGTCAGTCTGTTTCTAAGTGCTGAAACTATATGACGCGTGTTGTCTGCTCTTAGACATTATGGGGAGGATGCTTGTCCTTGTTTTCCCCCCAGGGCATTGCCTCATCGTTGGTGCTACTGTGTGACAGCTCTTGGTTGCCGTGGTGCTTTCGGTGGGATGGACGTCCGGTGTTGCTTCGACACTCTTGTGTTGTTGCATTTGTGAATGCGAGGGCAGTGGTGGACTGAGGTTGCTGGAGTTTTCCGTAAGGACACTCCAAGTTAATTTTTGACTACTTCGCTTCCTTGTGCCTCTGCTTTAGTGCTATTTTTGGCGCTTTGGCTTATAGGCGTCCCCCTCGCATCTCACCTCCAGGTCTTCGGGGACCCCACTTTTCCAAGGTTCTTGGTTGTGGATGGTTCCTTGAGGGCTTTGTGGCGTCTGGGTATCCTTTGTTGCATTTTATGCATTACAAATTATTTCAACTTTGACGATTTCAAACCTGACGCATCCATACCAAGCAGAGCTGGACCTACGAAACCCTGGGACTGGACCGGAAGGCGGCGTACTTGGAGGAACGACAGTTCCAGAAACCGTGCGAGGGTGGCGGAAAATGCGAGCTTGTGAAAGGTATCCACAATCAACTTCATCTACCACTCTATGCACTGATGTAACTCCCTATCAAATAAAGCCTACAGTCCGGGCCACATTTATTCTTGGTTCTGTCTTCTGCACGAACAAAACTGCATGAAAATCCAAGACCGAGGCGATAGCTGATGCGTTGGAGGACAGAACTGGTCGTGCGTCAGTTTTCTTGATATGAGTTTCGATTTTATATGGCGATGAAAGTGGTAGAATGTCTATGAAGATCACGTCCAGACTACGAATAGGATTAGGATTAGGAACTAACTTTTTTTATAGACTCGTCTACAACTATGTTCGCTGCGTCAGCTGCGATTACAACGACAAGCTACAATTTCTATCCAATGACAACACGACAGAGCCCATGAAGGAATTAGCGTGTTACCGTACGGCCGTTACCGTAAACAGCAATGAGCAGTGCAACTGTGAAAACGCTTGCGAGGACCCGCCAGCGTGCGGTGCCGGCTTGTGCCACTTTCACGAGGGTCAGTGTCAGTTCACCCCGGAGGCTAAGATGGGCGAAGACACACCCGCCTGCTCCTGCAAGGAGGCGTGCAAAAAGACCCTGCCGCTGTGCCCCTACGAGTACCAGGGAAAGCAGTTATGCGCGCGCGCAAGCCCCGAGGAGCTTTGCCACCCAGTAGAGGGTGTGGAGCAGCCGTACCCCTGCGAGTGCGTGGAGACCTGTGATTTCACTCCGTGCGCCGAGGACCAATGCGATTGGCGGCTGCCGACAGGCGAGCAGCAAGGCAAGGAAGCCTACTGCGACGTGACGGACGCGACGAAGCGCGACGGTGTGAAGTGCTACTGTCCAGCCGAGGTGTGTACTAACGAAAAACCAAAGCCCACGAAGCACCGCTCCGTCGAAGAACTGCTTCGCATTGGTCCGCTGGCGCTCTTATCGAATCCAAGGTATGCAGCTCTCGTGAATCTACAGTATCACCCTCGTCGCGGACATCAACGTGCAAGAGCAAGGCTGCTAAAAGTAACGCAGGAGCAAAAAGTTGCACATTGATATTGCTTGACTTGTTTACGCATTGGTAATGCATAGCGACAGCCATAGCAAACATGACTCTCCAGTTGTAAACCTCCTGGATTTAATATTTGATGCGCGTAGAAGTCTTGGCTCGTTGTGCTTTGTGACCCACCTCCACAATCAACATCATGATGATCTTCAGCATGCATTATGAAAAAATGATCATCCTCGTCGACGAGAAGGGCGATACGTGATTTTGCAGTGGATAGAAAGCAAGTGGTGACCAATGGAGTACTTGACCTCGGTGAGCAGGCAATGGGCCGTGCAAAGCAGATGACGGAAACGGTTTCGGAGCAACTCGGCTATGTGAACAAGGAAGATCTCAAGAAGAAATTCGGGGACAAGCTGGGATATCTTCCGGACGTTCCCCCGATCCCCGGCGGCTGGCAAGTGGTGAACGGCGTGCTGGCCTACAAGCAGGGCGTGGACGCCATTGGGCACTGGCTCATGGTGTTGGTGAAGTCGCTCTTCATTCCCATGTCGGCGCTGTTCATGAATTCCCCGCTGGGAAAAATCCCGGTCCTGCGGAACGCCTTCCCCGACCTGATGCGCGACTTCCTTCTGCTGAAGTCCGGGGCGCTGCGCGGGGGGATCCTGGCCAGCGAGATTGCGGAGGGCGAGGACCAAGACGCGTCTGACGTGGCGGGCGCAACGTCGCGCGCCGGGAAATTCGCGGAGCGGGCGAAGCGCATCGGGTTCGGCGTCGGCAGCGTGGTAGGAAAACTGCGGAACGCCGCAGAGGGCCTCGCCGAGAAGTTCAACAACAGCGGGCTCGGCAAGATGGTCGCTGGCGACTACAGAGACACGGTGCAAAACAAACCGGAGTTCTACGCAACCTCGCGGGCACGGAGCAGCGCGCAGCAGCTGGTCCAAAACGAGGGGCCGATGCGCGGGGACCAGTACCCCTACGGGATGTCGCGCAAGCCCTACGACCTGGGCGAGCAGCCGCGCGACACCAGCAACGAGCCCCAGCTGCTGCTGGCGCACAAGTCGCCCTCGATTGTGGACACCAACATCACCAACAGCAACGATTTCAGCTGCTGGCAGACAGCAGAGACCACGCCGGTGCGCAAGACTGCGCACCCCTTCTTCCGGTTCGACCGCCCGCTGCACAAGGTGCACGTCCACGCAGAGGATTTGACGAATCACGACGTGAAATGGGACGCCATCTACAACCTCCAGGGGTCCACCGTGCTGAAGCCCAACGCGACCGCCCTCGGGGGAACGCGGCCCGACTTTTGGACGTTTTGCGCGCCCCCGGATGACCCGCCGCACAGTTTTTCCGTGGACGTGCACCTGGTTGGCACGGGGTTCAACAAGCTGGACAAGTACAGATCGTTCCTCGGTTCCACGCTCGTTAACGCCTTCACACCACTGCACGCACCCGAGAGTTACGGGATGCCGATGCCAACGAGGCCCGACAGCTTCAAAATCAACATCGTTGGCAACTTGCTGAAAAGCCAAAGACAAAACCAGGAGTGGGAGACCATTCAACTGTAAAACTAGGCACAGGCGGTAGCCGTGATGTGTTTTTCTTCTAAGCATCAAGAGGACTCATTGTCATTTAGGAAGAACATACAGAATCGACATGGCAGTTGTATTGACCTCTTAGAAGCACGCTTGTACAATGAACTTGTCCATCAAGAACAAAAATTGAACAGTAGATAAAAAAGAGCACTCTACTGATTTGTTGCTTTTGCTATGTACGAGTATGCATGAAGATTCAAGATCAAGTTTCAGACGACCAAGACCAAGACGCAACCAATCTATTAGAAGTTAGTATCTCGTCGCTAAATCAGTTGGACCACCAACTTTGGCATCTGCCTGCTTCCATCCACTGAGCTTTTTTTTTCGCATCAAGATGGTGAAAGTATGTGGTGAGAGTGAACTACGTAAAGCAGCATCTGACCTCCACCAGAAAGAAACGTACAGAGACCCACTTTTTCCGTCTCGTATCCCACCTCGAAGATAGCTACACCACAAAGTGAGCAAGCCGAAGAGAAATTCAGCTTCAGCTTGCTCGTACCTGTTTCCTCTCGGGTCCTTTTGTTCCTATGTTTTGAAAACAACTACAGCAATTAGCATCTATTTCCGTCGTGCGCTTCACGAAGACGACCCACGTTGTCGCTCCTTTATATATGACCCCGATCATTTGTCGGTCCTTCGCAAACTTTTCGCGAATTGCGAAAATTTGGATTTCATCCGGGGTCATCGATGATTGTTTGCGTTTGGTGATCCATCTTTATTTGTGCTGAACTACACGCATTGATGTCAGCGTATGAGTGTCGGTCGCTCGTCTTCAGCGAAAGTAGTATCGCTTGTGCTCACAAAATCAACGCCTCCAGCTGCTGCAGGGCGAAAATGATCCATTCTTGCGAGGCAGTCGATCCCAAAATCGAAAGAAGTGTTGGAATAAGGTCTGACGTTTCCCTTCGTATGATCACGCGGTCAAAAATCATGTTGAAGAACGCTGTCGGCGGTCGTAATGAATCCTCATGCTTCAACTCGAAGCATTAGAAATTAATATCACCAACAGATTGTCGGTGCTGTGGCTGTGGTTCGTTCTGCTCCTGGTGTACTTTTTCATCGATCTCCTGAAATCTAATAGATGTAGAAGCTCGACGCGTTGAACTATCCCTAAGATATTTGAATAAACGAAACAGTCATTGCGCCGGCAGGAACACGACCATCAGTAAAAATACAGCCTGCCCTTTGAATTGCTTCCAAAGTTGTAGAGCAGGACGGTAGACTACCCCTGCGCTTCTATTCAGTAAGATTAAGAAAAAGGAAACTGCCAGCTCCAGGAATTTTCTTCACTGACACGACTGCTCTCTATATCTACTCGAATCGAACAGAAGCGCAACTGCAACATCAAGCAACACGACACGCTGCGATAAAAAAAATGCCGGCGCCCACTCAGGAGGATATCGATGCTCTGCGAGGGTTGTTCCAGCCCGTCGGGAGCAATAGGATAAAGGAGGAACAATTCCGGGAAATGACCTTGAAGGGCATTGGAATACTAAAGCCGGAAGAGGTCGCGGAAGAGCTCGAGGAGGACCATCTCCGAATTAAGCACTGCGAACATTTTGAAAACGCAAAGGTCGCAGAAGTTCTTGCAGAGGTATACTTTTTTTTCGTACTAAACCAGGTTATTTCTCTACTCACCTAGTTCTAGTTGTAACTGTAAGCCAAGCGCGGCTTCACTAGCAGACGATTCTGAATGAAGTTGAGAACTGGTGAACTGATCAAGAACAAAAAACCGTTCTAGTTGCAGTTTGAAGATGTCTGGTCGCTTTTCTATCAATATCGACTCAGAATAAACATAAATTTGAATCATGGATGACACCGCCCTGTGGTATCAAAGTTTACAACCGAGAGCCGTTAGTGGCTTCACCCACCATTTGCATACACGAAACACCTTCATACTGGTAGGCGCTTCAAGACTTCCTTGATGAGGAGGACTACAAGAAAGTTCGCGGAGTCACGAAGCGCGATGGTTCTGACCTGTTGAGTACGCTGTGCGAGAAGTTCGAGGAGGAGGTTTCGGACACGTCAGGAAATTGCTACACGTGGCATGCGGCATCAGGTTTTGCGCTTGAACTCTCCATGGTCTGTGATGTCATCGTCCAGCTTCCGAGCGGCTATTGGTTTTACTTCTGGAAGGGAGAGGAAGTTTGAAACTGTTTGCAACTGATGTTCTGCGTACAAGTTGAGGCTCCTGCGCATGATTCGCTTCGTCACAAGCGAAAGGACGACGAGACCACCCCCACAGCGAACTACAAAGCACGATGCTAGAAGGATGAATGCAGACGATTTTCTTGAAAGTTGGAAATGTAAGACGATACCCTTAGCAATAAGACAACGAGCCAAGAAAAAAATACCAGCAATACATACATACTGCTCGTGCTGCGTTGCTCCGTCCTGGCGGAGTCACAACAACAACAAGTGGACGATCATGCTTGTTGTTCTTCGATTTGTTTTTAAGTAAACTGAGACGCTCGGTGATGCAAGGAACAAATAAGCTTATTGAGAGCTGCAAAGCTGTGCCCTTGGACTTGATGAAGACAGCTACAGGATGAACTTCCGAGCGAATAAGTACTACAAGTGGTATCTTTATTTTTGCACTTCTCAGACAAAACATGATTTTGAAGCCTTGTTGACGGGTGTGAGAGTAATGACACAATCACACAGATGAAATATCTGCAGACGGGTGTCGAATTTTCGTGGTACTGCATCCTCTTCCCGCCATAAACTAGTAGATGCGTCGCACTCTGTTTCAAACGCATTCTGGCCTACAACATTCGTTTTCTAGTCAAAATGTATTTGTATACAGAACAAAACGCCACGACGCAAGATATATCGTTACGGAATGCAAGCAGCGCATTGAGTGTAAGAAAAACAAGCCAAGGGGACGGGCGGGGGCGAGAGTGGTCCAACGTTTTGTCCATACCCCTTAGTATGATATACATTCCAGCAGTAGAAGTAGACGAGTACTCGTCGTCGGTATCGACGGTCGAATTCTCGCTTTGGCCCGAGAAGTAATTCCGAAGCCAAATCATGGGCCTCCGCGAGCTCTCCTTCATCGGCGCTGGCTCTCGGCGATCTTTGCGGACTTCGTTCCTTGCTGTCCCAGGACTTATCCTCGGCGGGTTTTTTTCTGCTGGAGCTGCTGCTTCCTCCAATGACCTGGGCGCAGGATGTTGTGGTGATGGTAATGGTGATCTTTTCACCGTCCGCCTCAGTGAACTTGGGCCAAATTCTCGGCAAACATGTGAGCAGAAGTGTATTGATAATTCAGCTTGCGTGTGGATAAATTACGGTTGGTTTCAATTTGCTTGGCCGCATGGTGAATCTGACTGGTGTGCCGGTTTCAGTCAGTCAGCAAATTGCGAAGCAACCGGGTTGGACACACGAGCGGGTTGGGCCGGCCGTTGCGACGGGGGAGGTGGAGACAATGGCGTGCGTACCTATCGAATCAATAGAGGAGGTGGGAGCAACAATCAGATTGCTGCTCCCACCCCCTCGGCGCCCCCAGCCCAACCTTCTCGGCTCCAGCCGTCTGCTGCCACGTCCTCGGCGACCACACCGCAACCTTCTCGGCTCGTCCCCTACGTTCCCTCCTCCGCGGCGCCCGTTGGCCCCCATCAGATCGAAGATGCTCCCACCTCCTCGGCATCAGGCAGATTGATGCTCCCACCGGACTTTGTCTGGTATACGCTGAGTCTATTTTCAGCATTTTTGGTGTTGTAACGCCGGATGAGCCTGTCGCAGCGAACAATTACAATGCACGATGCTAACAGGATGAAAGCAGACGATTTTTTTGAAAGTTGGCTATGTAAGACGATGCCGCTAGCAGTAAGACAACGAGACATGAAAAAAATACCAGCAATACATACTGCTCGTGCTGCGTCCCTCCTGGCGGAGTCACAACATCAAGTAGACGATCATGCTTTTTGTTCTTCGATTTCTTTGTTTTTTCTGAAACTGAAACGCTCGGTGACGCAGGGAACGAATAAGCTTTTGAGAGCTGCAAAGCTGTGCCCTTGGACTTGATGAAGACAGGTACAGGATGAACTTGCGAGCGAAAAAGTACAAGTCGTATCGGAGACGACATGTGAGAATAATGACACAATCGCACAGAAATATCTGCAGATGGCTCTCGAATTTTACCACATCCTCTTCCCGCCATAAACTAAGTAGTAGATACGTCGCACTTTGTTTCAATTGCACTGTGGTTTAAGTACAACATAATTCGTTTTCTAGCGCAAACATGTATATACTGAACTACAAAACGCCACGCAAGATATGTCGTTACGGATGAATTTGAATGCAAGCAGCGCATTAAGTGAAAGTGTACGAAAAAAACCAACACAGCGCGCGCGCCCGGTATTACTTGATATAGCTGAGGATCATTTTAGAATTTAAGAAGGAGGTCGAGCAGTGTGCTTCTGCTAGATTTTCGAATTTCAAACCCTTTTCTTGTCACGCACCGTTTCCCTCCGATTGACTTGAGAAAATACTTAAATGTGCAGTAAACCAATACACTGATCGCATGCAGTTGCAGAACAATTTGATTTTGCAGCATCGAGAGGACGATGCTGTTGGCGCCGGACTCGTTTCTTTTAGATCTCTTCCTGACATCGCTCGCGGTGCTAGCCTTCGCCGTTCTTCAGTTTTTCAGGAGGCCCCTGCTCGCAGGCACTTACCAGTTGCTCGCAGTCATTTACCAGCTGTGTAATTCCTGTAAGAAGAACTGCAACTGCGACTGCCCCGCACTCAGCAAGCGGCTGACCACGTTTCTGCGCGGACCAAGGGAAACTGTAAGGACGGTCGTTCAAACGTCCAACGGTAGTCTTGCCCTCGAGTTACTTGAAAGTGACCTTGACCCGGAGAAGCTGGTGGAGTCTTTCAACGAAAAACTCGCCGCGGAAGCTTATCACAGTTGTACGCATTTCAACAATACTATATATCAATCTCATCTTCGCACTATGTACACGTATTCCGCCTACAAACATGAACTCAACAACGAACTGCAGCTAAGTATGGATGCTGAAAAACGAAATCAAAGGACAAGAGCGACGAGAAGATTTCTACGGCGCATTTTTTCGTATGCGCTTCGTGTACCAGTGCCGCGAAGCATGAGGTTAGGGATAGTTTTGCAGCGGATATCTGTAGCAGATATGGAGAACAAAGTCAGCACCTCGCCAAACAAGCGCAGTTCGGCATCGTCCCGAGCCGGCCCGGAGGGGGAGGCGGTCGAGCCAGAACAAATACGACGTCGTGGCGGTGGTATTAATGATCGCGGGACCACCAGCACTCCAGCAGCTGTTGATGGTCATGCACCACAAGAGCCGTCGTCGTCGGCAGCAGCCAGCAATAAAGACGCGCTAGATGTTTCCGCTTTCTTAACGGAGAATAACGAGCTACTGCCAGCTAAGGACTGCTTGCGAATTTTGCGCGATGCTGCCTTTTACAAGCCGTCGGAATACGCCTACTACGATTACTTCAACTCGTCTCGTCTTGCGCATTTGCCCTCCGCTGACGCTGCGAGGACGAGCGCATGGAGGGACAAAGAAGGCAGAAATCGATGTACGATTTGCAGTGGTGTGTTGTTTCAGCCGGTTAGCCTCGTGGACGGGACATCCGCATGCCACTTCTGTGCCGTCATAGACAAGCTCACGCCGAACAACCTCGCTCCCGAACTTCTAGAGTTCGGGAAGCACACGAACTTCCCCCTCGACGCCGCTTGGGAGCGCCATCCAGAGTACCAGCGAGCGAAGAGCGCACTGCCGCTGTTTGTAGCGAGGGAGGAGAGCAGCAGCGACAGATGTGAGCAGGGAGCGGACGTCTTATCCGTCGAGGACAAGCAGGAGGATCATGAAGCTAAAGTTAAAGAAGAGGAGAGATCCATTTCCGACAAAATTATGAAGCTGCTGAATCCACCGCAGGAACAAGAGCTTGAACAATCTGTGAATTGTTTTTCCTCTTTGCGGATCCGGCTGCAATTGCGTTTGGCAGAGTTGACATCGTCGACAAAGCATGTCGAAGACGCCCTCATCGAGCTGAAGAAATTCCCAGCAACGTCAAGCGATGGAGGCGTACCGCCGTCAGACAGAACAAAGTTCTGGCTTCACACCTACACGAAGAAGGCATTTCGGGTCCGTGGAGAAATTTTGCTGCGCCAGTTGATACCGCAGGAGCTTCCGACTTTGACAACACACACACCCGAAAGCGGGAGCACGAATAAAACTTCCTTCGTGGACCCGAAAACCAGCTCGACCGTATTGCCGCTTGGGCAGCAAAAAGAGCAGCTGGAGCGAATACTGCGGGACTTTTTGCTTTCGGACGACTATCGCGATGGCATCACGGCGTTCTCCTCGGGCGTGTCATCTTTTTCCCGACAGATGAAGAAGCTCTATACCAAAATTGTCGCGCCTGCTGGGAAAAATGCGCTACAAGTATGCACAGCTGATCCGCGTAAAGCTAAATCTCTGGTGACGGGGGTGGACGATGCCAAAGAGTCGCCTGGCGAGCAGGGCCGCGTCAGCGTCTCGAAGAACCTAAGGACGACGGGTACAAACCCCACAGATCCTATGATCGTAAATCAAACTACCGACAACCACGCTCCTGTGCTTTCGCAAGCAGTCGTGAAGTCACATGAATCGGAGGGAAGCGCGTGTGTGAGGAGAGGCGAAAATAAAATAGATGAAGACGGCGATGCCAGAAAAAGTGTGGCCGAAGATGCGGAGCCTGGTACGAGTACAGGATCAGCAGCAATAGCGTCAGATGCCGTTGTTGCGGCCAACCACGTGGGTATCACCAGCACCGAGAGACGAGCAGAGCCGACAGGGGGCCAGCCGAATTCGTCATCAGCAAAGGCCGAGAACACCAAGAGGAGCGCTGCCAACGGAGACGATGAGCACCAGCAGAGGCCGAGTTATTTGTCTTGCACCACACTTGACAACGTTATTGAGCACGTCGTGTTTCCACTCGTACGAGACGTCTGTCGAAAGGAGTTGCGCGACAACTTGAGTACGCGCGACGCGACGTTTTTGTTCGATTCAGCGGGCAGCGACAAGGTTGAAACCGATACTCGTCCTGCGAAGAAAGCAAAAATAGACGAAAACAAGGAAAACCCAAACTCGCCCGAGGAGATGGACGACGAGTACAACATGACTATAGACAGCAGGAAAACTGAAACATCAACCATGCCGACCGAAGAGCTGCTCGCATCGAAAACAGTGCGGGCGGAGGCAGAGTTCTTTGCCCGAGTGCACGCCGACGTGGAGGGATTCGAACACGCTTTCACAGAGAAGAACGGATCGACCACTTTCACCGGCAAGGATATCACCCAACAGAAGCAGCACCTGGAATTGAGCCTGCGAAACATTGTCCCTTCCGAAGACGATTTAAGCTGCCCTGTCTGTGCCGATCTGTTTTTTGAGCCCTGTTGTCTTCCTTGCGGCCACGTCATGTGCAAGTCTTGTCTTGCCCGCCACCTCGACCACGCACTGGAGCGGGCGCCCATCTGCGTCATGTGTCGTCATCCGTTGGTGCCCCTGCTCGTGTATGTGAACAGCGAGGCGCGGCGGGACCCTTCGTGCGCCCACGGTGGACAGGTGCTGGAGCGCATGATTTGCGGCGCCTTGGAGTGCGTGATTCAAGACTTTTTTCCGGAGCAGCGTAAGCAGCGGGCGTTGGACGTTAAGGCCGCAGAGAATAGCGGCCGAACGACCACGACGAGGTCTACGACCACGACAAGAGCTTCGGGCTTGCAGCGCAACACTTCCTCCTCGAGCACCAACCTGGCTGCCGCATCCACAGACCATAATGATAATGTTGGTCCAGCCAATACGCGTCCTCCGACGGGGGCAGGGGCCGCGGATACAGCTACTAGTGTGGTACAACTACCTGGCGACGGGAACAGCCACGCCGCGCTGGATAGCACATCAATGGACCGTGTGGACGCAGACCGCCGCGAAGACCAGAACAATACTGAAAGGGGCTCAACGTTCACCGCCGTTCGACCCGCCTCGCCGAAATCGTCGGCACTAGTACACGGCGCGCCTTCATCCAGCCACCTGCAAAACGAACGCTCTGGAGGAGTATCGCCACGTGTAGTAGTTGACACGCCGGCTTCTCCGGAAGAAGAAGAAGAACAGACATGGATTCCGATCTTCAAGTGCTCCATCGCTGTTCCCGGAGTCAACTGCGGTTTGCACGTCTTTGAGCCCCGCTACCGGCTCATGATGCGGCGCTGTATGGACAACACAGACACCGCAAAGCGGACTTTTGGCATGCATCCGCATTCCGTCACGCCTTTCCCCTACGGTTGCCTGTTGCAGATTAAGGAGTACGAACAGCTCCCGGACGGGCGGTGCCGGATCGACGCGGTTGGGGTCAGGCGCTACAAGGTTCTCGAGTGGTCCGAAAAAGACGGCTACAGCATTGCCCGCGTGGAGTGGGTGGACGATGAAGTTGAGGAACCGCTTTCGCAGGAAGCCGCGCAGGAAGAGGAAACCTTGTGCGTCTCTCTGCAGTTGAAAGCGCAAGAGGCTTTGACGAAGCAGGAGTCGCGCGCTTTTCTCACGTTTGCCGAAGGTCGTGCGAAGATAACCACCGCGAGGGATATGATACTGTCGCAGTACGGCCCCGTGCCGTCGGCAGATAAAATTCACCTTGTCTACTGGCTCTTCGCCACGGGGCTCCTCTTCGGAGACGATGTCGATAGTAGTCCAGGCACGCTGATCGACTTCGCGTACGGACACGAGACGCGACACTCACCAAAAAAAAGGCTGCGAAGATTGTGCGAACTAGCCAATGTGACCTCGAACTGATTTTAGCATAAAGACGAAGACGAACTCAGTAGTACTACGGTATGAAGGTGCAGGGCGTAATACAGTTACATCGAAGACGAGTGTACTACAAAGTTGCGCTGCTCTCGTCCTCATTCACGGTGCTGTCGTCAATGGCTCTACATGGTCCAAGAACAATTTGTTGCGAACTTATTCCATACACTCGTACTAGCCCAGCTCCATCGCATTTGGCTTTTTGTTTGGAGCCACTTTTGTTTGCCCTGGGCGTTGGCTTACCAATTTTTCAGAAGATTCTTCGCGGACTGACTTCTCATTGTTTGAAGAGCTGGAAGACCTTCATCTCTGTAAAACCAAAAAGAAACCGAGGATTTCTCTCCAGGAAAGATGATGCTCTTCGGCTTGAATACTTAGCGATTAGTACGTGGGTCTTAGTGTTGCCAATTTCAGCTTGTAGGGGGTTGGTGTTCTTTTCTCTACTCCTGCTAGTATGTACAGCAACAGCAGGTACACCGCTAGATGCTAGTGAAGATCGTCGTCCCTTTTGTAAATGGTCGCGCAGACGAAGTAGTCACGCTTGACTTTTGTTTCTGTTCATTCACCCCATCTTCGTATCTTCCGATGAGTACCGGACTCTCAACGTCAACAGCATCTGCATCCGCATCGCTTGTGCGGTTGATATTCGAATGTCTCGTCGTCGCAAGTCGTCGCAGGTCGTAAAGGAATAATCGCGTCGTTGATCATGTTGGTCGTTTCTTCTCGTGGAGCCTGTGTATTGTATATCGCCCATCGATGATGTCGCTCCTGTTCGTTGTAACTCGTGAATTCTGAAACTCCACGACCACGAGTTGGCCACCGCAATATGTATCTTCAAATAAACGAAAATTCGCCTTAGGGAACTTGCTGTCGGGGGCTGAAGAGTGTGTCCCGTGATGACGGGCGCACTGCAAAAAATGCCGCCTCCGTCCAAATGGAGGGATATGGTTGTCGTCTCCACCATTTTCGTGGGCGTATCCACCAACCAGAATGAGAAGCAGTCATCGGTCGAGGTGCTTGACCATGTCCACTTGCAGTAACGCTGACTAAAGCGGAGAAAAATGGACCTGAACATCAAAGCGAAATTAGAACCGCATGAGCGGTTCCCCGCTTGGCCGCACCAGATTGGTGCTTCGGGTTCCGATAGGCGGCTCATGTTGTCCCGGTCGAAGCCAAGAAGTCCATCCATGCAACCCCAACCGGCCCCCGGGGACGCAGATGAGGACTCGGACGAGATTGCCGCTGGGCGAGGAGACGCGAACAACATTGCAAACGTCGCTGGAAGCAACCAGCTTCCTCACGACATCGATCGGAGCATCGGACAGACACTGTTCGATAGTCGCATCCAGCCGCAGAAGGAGCCAACCTCTTCGAAAACTCCGTCCGCTGCGTATGCGAAAGCCTTATCGCTGAACTTTTTCCAGCGGGCGATGCTACAGTCCAAACGAGTTGCCATCAAAACAAAAGAGAAAAAACCGAAATCTTCGGGTGGCTCGGTCGCGGAGAAGAACGTCGCTGCGGCGACCTCTGGACGAGCAGACAGCTCTTCAGAATCAGACTTCAGTCCCGGCGCAAGACGAAGACCGCAAGACGACTATATTCCGCCATCTACCCCGCAGCGCTCTCGCACAGCTAAGGCGCTGGCCGTTGCGGCCGAGCTCGCGCAACTCGCGGATGATTTCAGTGGTGGGCTTTTTTCTGGCAAGAACAGGCCCGCAGAATTCGCGACGAAGGAAAGAAAACGTCAAATCGAGCTGTCTTCGGGAGAGGAGAACTCGGTCGACGACCGGGAGCCACGCGTCCGCGTCACGGCAACGGCTGCGGAGCAGAAAAAAAAGGATGCTGAGATCCTTGAAGCGATCGAGCAGCGCGAAGGGGACGTCATCGAAGAAAAAGGCGCGCGGGATTTCTTCTCGAAAAAGAGCAACAGTAGTCTGTCTCGTGGACGCGTTAAAGCTCTCGGAGTCAACTTCATGAGCGCTGTTGCGAAGGCAGATGAAGTCGACAGCGCGAGCGCACATTTCCCACGACGACTGACATCCGTATCTGCAGCGACAGCACCTCCTGCAGCACCCTGGGAGAAATTCACCAACGACGAAGCGTTTCAGTACCAGCTGCATGCGCCCTCCGTCCAGGACGTGCTTGAGCAAGAGAGACGAGAGATCTGCAGCCCAGATAAGGGCACTACTGCGCAGTACCAGAGGGCCCACGAAGTGTGGAAGATTCGTAAGGGCTTGGACCGAAAGGCCGAAGACAGAGACAAGGCGAGGCGGCAAGCTGAAGAAGAAGAGGAAGAAGAAAAAGACAGCTCCGACGACGACCTACAGCGGAAACCTTCGCCGGACCTCCGGGCGTTGAATGCGAAAAGCTCATTTTTTCAGCGCCCGGGAAGCAAGGCCCTGCAGCAAACCACGTTGACTGACCCGCTGATGGACCGTCGAGCGTACAACGAAGCGAAGGCTTTGAACGATCGTCCGCGCGACCTGCCTGTCACAAGCCTGCTGGCGAGAACGTTGAACTTGACTGGCGGTTTCGCACCCGTGCTGGACTTCCCAGACGCACCAGAAACAAAATCATCGGAGCCGCAATATACGGCACACGAAAAACAGGTCTACCTTTACGCAACGGACGGGTCGCGCCATGACGACGCAGGTGGAGACGAGGACGTTGATGAAAGAGCCAACTTTCGGACAACATCCAGCAGCGCAGATGAAGGAAGCTTGGCACCGCTACTTTCAGTCGGTCGCCGAAATCACGAAACTCGTCCCGGCAAAGGCTTCGATAAGGAGGAATCCGGCTTCCGCGCTTTTCGTCGGGAACTGCTTGCCGAGCTTCGTGGCCGAGCTCCTTTGGGAATTACCAGCGAGCCTGAGGAGAGCGGGGATGGGGAAGCAGAAAATGCAAATGGTCGAAAAAATGAGGACGAACGTTTTTCGCCAGGAAACCAAAATTATGTTGAAAAGCATCTACTGGAGGAGGTCACAGCAGTGGAAGATCCGTCGGCGTTGCTGCCGTCCCGTTACTATCAAGGGCTTGATCTTCTTGACGATGAGCCTGCGATGCGTGCAACGTGGCTGCCTCCAGAAGAGTCGACGTCCAATTTCGGCGCGGCAAGAAATTTCCTGTACGTGCCAGACGGCCGCCAAGACCCAGAGGTGCTTGCGAAGCGCCGAACAAGCGGAGATTTTCAGCAAACAGACGGGCCGGACAAGCAGCTCCATGACCACGTCGCGGAGGACCACGATCCACTTTTTGAGAACCAAGACCAGGACCGCGCCCAACGACCGCCGGCAGTGTACGTGTGTCCTGTATGCGCACGCATGCACGACGTGCTCCGCTACTGCAAGGACGATCGGTTCTGTGATTTCTCGCGGTTCGACCCACACGCGCTCGGAGAATCAGTTTACGCAAAAACCGCTGGTTATTTTTTTACTGACTCAGTAGAGAAGTGCTGCCGTGCCCAGTTGGAGTTGAAACGTATACCGGGGCTGACAGAACGAGGAGGCTCGGATCATGGGGAGCACGTCCGCTCCTCGCACTCGCAGGAAGCTCGCATGCGCTTCCTTGAGGAAAAACTCACAAAGGCTTTGCTCTTTCATGAGCCCCCGACCTCTCCGACATACGAGGCAGATGAACAGCGAAAGAAGGAAGGCAGTCCAACTGTTGACTTCGTCTTTGTCCACCAGCTTCTGAAGCTTCTTTTTGAAGAGCTGCAGATGCATTCCCTCGGAAGAATGAGCAGCAGTCAAGACGATTGGGGTCAGGAATTTGTGTTGGAATTCGACAGAGTCATGCGCTTAGCGTCGGCGGTACTGAGGCTTCTGGTGAAGCTGATGCGGTACAGGCCACAAGTCGTGCCGCCAAGAGAGATTACTACGAAGATCACCGTGAACGATCCAGACCAGATGACGGCGGAGGAGCCAGCAATACCCAACGAAACAGCATCAAATGGAACGACCGGATCGACAGCAACTTGCGGCAGCGTTTTTCTTTGTCCGTGCTTGTTTTTGATGGCTTTCGATTTCACGCGACAAGTTCACCGACTTGTTCGGAAATATCCAGGAAAAGACGCCCATCCCCATCCAATTTGTCATGCAAGACATGCATAAATAAGTCCACTATTTGCCATGCAAAAAATGGATGGGGATGGGTGTTTTGTCCTGGATAAGAAAAGAAGGCTCGCGATACTCCCAAGCTCGACCAGCAGTGCTTCTAGCACTGCAACTCTTGAGGACATCAGCATTTCTGCGAACGAGGCCGAAATAGACGCGAAATCCACCTCGGCGCGAGGCAGTGCAGCCAAAACGCATGCGGAGTTGGAGCAGACCTGCCTTATTACTTTGACTCGCAAATGGCGCGGCTGGGTGGTGGACGAGGTTCTACCCTTGTATCTGCAACAGAAAAAACTCTTTCCGCACGTCTCTTGGTACTCGGGGAGCAACCTCATCCTGGAAACGATTTTGCGTCCGGCGCTTCTGTTCACTCTGCAGCCTGAATTTTTCGCGTCCAGGATGGACCAATGGAACGAAAGAAAACGAGTCTTCCTCGACAATTTGGTAACATACAGCCTCCGTTACCGTTGAATGAGTATGAGTTGCCTGCTCGTCGTCGTTACACTCAATGATGATGAATACAGGCTTGACATTCCTTATATTTTTTCACATTCGTTTTCCTTTTCTGGTTGTCCCTCGCAAGCACGTGGACGTGCTTTAATTGTTAATCATGAAAAACCCATTCCAGGGCATCGCACCGGACGAGATTCGGACACCAGAAGTAGACCCAATCGGTCTTCTCTGGCCCCGGGCGGTGCGGGATGAAGTTTGGAACGCGCAGAAGTTGTGCCTGCACAAGGACAACCGGCGCAATCTGCGCAAAGCGACCAAGCGGGAGCTGCGGTCGTCGACACCGAATTATGCAAAAGGGGACGAAGCCACCGCAGCGCGCCCGGCGCGGGAGTTGAAGGACCTGTATTCGGGTTCCTCGTCTGACGTTCAACCCGAAAGACATTCAGTGCGTGTGAGAAGAAAAAGAAAGAGACGGAGAAAAACAGACCTCCACTCTACTAATGAAGACGCCGCTCCTCGTCTGGTTGCGTCAGCGGTTGTTCCTGGATCTGACATGAAGCCGCCAGTAGGTCTTGCGAAGCCGAAACTTCGTGGGGGTGCAAAAAAGGCCGTGTCCGCGCCCACCGGACCACGGAGCAAGTCGGCCTCGCCGTCCGGTCCGAAAATAAAGAAAGCCAAAGCATCACCTGCCGGTGGGGCAGCAGCAGCACCCTCCAGCACTTCCAATCCGCGCCCACCCGCGGGAACGAGCAATGTGCAGCGCCCGGCCTCTGCTCCGCCGCCGGGACAAAAATCTTCCAAGCCTTTACCAAGACCC